TGATTTAGCCTAAGATACTAGAAGAATAAGTAGAAGTTAGCAAAGGAAAAAAATGATTATAAATTATTATAAATTATAATGATTATTATACAATAAAAACACAAATAATGTTATTCTCTTTCTTAAAACCTCCTATGGCTTCCCATTGCACTTAGGATAAAACTTATACTTATTTCCACAGCCCAAAGTCCCTGCATGATTGGACCTTTCTGTCTCCTACCTCATCTCCTACCACTCTTCACCAGCCTTTTTGTTGTCTTTTTTTTTTTTTTAAGATTTTATTTATTTATTTGACAGAGAGAGACACAGTGAGAGAGGGAACACAAGCAGAGGAAGTGGGATAGGGAGAAGCAGGCTCCCCACAGAGCAGGGAGCCCGATGTGGGCTCTATCCCAGGGCACTGGGATCATGACCTGAGCCAAAGGCAGACACTTAACCACAGAGCCACCCAGACGCCCCTGCCTTTCTGTTTTTTTATTGTATTGCCAATTTATTTTCCACCTTAAAGACTTGTCTCTTACATAATGGAATGCATCCGATATGCCTCCTTCATTTTTTTCCTTAAATCTTTGGTAATCAAGCTTCAGACAATGAAGTATGACCTCCTCCCTAATTCTTCCCTCTGTACAGAATGTTTTGCTTTCCTACTCCCCTACCTTAAGTAAAATGTCACTCTCCAGAGATGACTTTCCTGACAACTTTATCCAAGTAGACACTTTTCTCCATAATTACTTATCACTACCTGCAGTTATCTTGCTTATTTGTTTGCTTGTTCTTGTCTGTCTTCCTTCATTAGCATGCAAGGTCCAAGAGATCAAGGACTTTGTCCTGTTCACTTGTATATCTCTAGTCTCTAGAAGAGTGTCTGATACATCTGGGCATTCAATAAATAATATCCACTCTAGGATGAGATTTGTATGTGAAATATTAAGCTCACTGGTACAAAATTGGTGCTCAACAATTACTAAATTCCTTTCCTATGCATAGATGAGACTAATCAATTCAATTCCCTGATCAGCAAATATCTCACACTTATCATCTTGGATGTTGAGAATGTTGTATACTATTACTCAAAAACACATAGTAAAGGAATAATGACCATGTGTGGCATATTCTCTTTTTGCTCCTCCCTATCCATTCCTCAGTCCACTGCTCCAAAGGGGTTCCCTTATTCTCTGGCATCTGGCTGGGTTTGGTCAATGGAAGTTACCATTGGGAGTTCAGAAAGTTGAAGAGTGAGGTTTTTCTAACTGAGTTCCTGTTGGGCAGGCCTTGCCTATAGTTCTCTCCAGGTAGTGCTCCTTGTTCTTTCATGCCTGGGGATGTTACATCTATTGTTGGTTTCCCTGAATCCTCTCCACACGTGGTAAATAGTCCTTCCAGAACATTTCCTCAAGCACAGAGTAGTGCCATCCCTCAAAATGGAACACTCATCTCTTTCCTGTTAGGACTCTAAAGCAGGCAGAATAAGAAAAAGCGGGCAGAATTAAAACATGGCATTCAGCAACTCAAAAGCGACAAAGGTACAATGAACCATGGAGTGACAAGCCCGAATCATGGCCCCAAATGTATGTTTTGCCATCTCCCTGTTTCGTGTCTTTGGATCACTAGTGTCTGAGGCTGGGTACTCTAGAAGTAGATGATGAGAAAATTTTGGGTTCAAAGAATCACCACTTGTGAAAGGAAGGGGGAGAAGGCGGGATTAAGGACAAAGTCAAACCACAGTGCAGGCTCTACAAACTTCCCAAGAGGGAGCTTTGGAGTGAGGAATGCCTGTCAGTGTCCCACATAAGGCTCAAACGACCCCACCTTTGTACTCCCTTGTCATTTATCCACTAGATCACACAGGAAGGGGTGTCTGCCAGAGGCTACCTGCTACCTGCAGCTGAGCAGAAGGTCTTACCTTGAAGAGGGAATATGGGGGGCCATCTCTATGTCTTCCACAACAGTTTGAATCTTAATCTTTCTTGGGCTTTATCTCTCACTGTCTACCATTGGAATTGTTTTCAAAGGCTTTGTTCTAGTACCCCTGCCTAGGAAAAACCTTCCTGGCTTAATTAGTTCAGCTTATCCCATGTACTTCTGATCAAATTTCTCTGTCTTATAAATTTCCAGAGTAACAGGCAGCTAGTTGAAAGAAATATGTTACCATTTTAGGAAATCTGACATACTAAGAGACAAGATGCTACTATATAGTATCAGAAATAACACAATCAAGCAGTAGAAGTACAGCATTCACGATTATGTCTTCATATTGTCATGGAAAAGGTTGCTCTGTGATATTATCTCTAAGATACTGAACATGTATGTCTTTGATGATCCATTCTTTAGCTTTATGCAGTAAGTACTCTTACTTCCTGTATGGGATCTAAAGAATGCCATAGTTCTTCCAAATCAGTATTCCTGACTGTTACTATGAAATCTTCCTCCACAGCAGTGTATTTTAATATTGACACAACACTTGACCTGAAAAATACATCAGCAATTAGATAGTATCTAGCTAGCTTAATAGGACTGCCTTTATAGTGAAATTGGTTTCTTTAAACCAAATGTTCCTATCCCTTTCATGTACCAGCTCTTCATCTGGGTCTATTAGAGAAGGTTAACATTATGCTACCACATTTCAGATATCTTGTTAAATTATATTTAAGTGATGATCTGAAAATAAAGTGAGATAATCTGAGTGCATTAAGTAAAAAGAAAGTGGGAACATTTCTAGTAGAAGAAAATCTCCGGGCTGGTATCTTAGGCAAAAATTTTTCTCCTGTTTTTCTTTAATTTAGATTTTATTTATTTTTATGAGAGAGAGAGAGAGAGAGAGAGAAAGCAAGCAGGGGGGAAGGGGCAGAGGGAGAAGCAAGCTCCCTGCTGAACAGATAGCCTGATGTGGAACTCCATTCCAGGACCCCAGGATCATGACCTGAGCCAAAGGCAGACACTTAATCAAATGAGCCACCCGGTGCCCTCTCCTGTTTTTCTTGACCCAAATTTCCAATCAATAAACAAAGAGGCCAATCAATAAACAAATTTAAATTTAGCTGGGTTCTTAACTTAAAACAAAATTGGGGCACCTGGCTGGCTCAGTTGGTAAAGCATGCGAGTCTTGATCTGGGGTTGTGAATTTGAGCCCCATGTTGGGTGTAGAGATTGCTTAAAAAAAGAAATCTTTAAAAAAAATTAAATTAATTAGTTCAGAATTTAATTGTAATGTCTTTAATATTGAATGCAAAAAGGAAAAAAGAAGTTAATTATTAAATATCTTGATATTATAAGTTATGCAAATAATTTTGCACCAAATTTTGAAGCTGAAGAGTTAATACTTTAAATGTCTTTGACAACATAGTTTATAGACTTTTAAAAGTGTTCAAGAAACTAATCTTTTTTTTTTTTTAAGATTTCAGTTATTTATTTGAGAGAGAGAGCACAAGCAGTGGGGAGAGGCAGAAGGAGAGGTAGAAGCAGGCTCCCAGGAGAGCAGGGAGCCCCACATGGGGCTCCATCCCAGGACCCTGGGATCATGACCCAAGCTGAAGGCAGATGCTTAACTGACTGAGCCACCTAGGAGCCCCAAGAAACTACAGTTTTGTGCGTGTGCATGTGAACAACTATACAGTGTTCTGATTGCCAGCGAAATGATCCTCAAATTCATGCTCTATCAGATTTTTTCTAAAGATGTAAAAATCTTTAATCTGAGAGAGGGGGCTTCTTACTATTGTTTTTGGAAAACTAACAAACAAACACACTGTTTTGTTGTTGTTAGGATCCTGAAAGTAGAAGTCTTCACTTTGACTTGCTCAGGTGCGGGATATTTGCTTTGTTTCTGTCAGGCACTAGGGGGAGTGCGGTGTCATACAACTGCTGTATTCCGCAAGCCTTGCTCACTGTGGCATGGCCAAATGTAGGGAAGAGGTACAGCAAACAAGGCGTTAGAAAAACACTCTCTCAAAGTTGAAATAGGACAATTGTGCTCTCCCAAATCTACAAAGATCAAGTGTTTAATGCCGAGAGTCCCAATATAGGGCTTTGATCTCTCTTAAGCAGCAATAACATCAGATAATATCTAGCTAGCTTAATAGTACCTCAGTTTCCTCGCATGCAAAATAGGAGATGATAACACTACCTACCTTATACAGTTAATGTAAGAGTTAAATCGCATAATTGTTTAATACCCTGGAACATGCTTACCACATTTGAACTATTAATCTTTTTTTTTAAATCTATTTATTTATTTGATGGTGAAAGGGAGAGAGAGAGGGCACAAGCAGGGAGACGGAGAAGCAGGCTCCCCACTGTTCAGGGAGCCCGAAGTGGGGCTCAATCTCAGGACCTTGGGATCATGACCTGAGCAGAAGGCAGACGCTTAACCGAATGAGCCACTCAGGCACCCTAAACTATTATCCTTAACTAAATACAAGTTTCAATTTCATAGAGTTTTTAAAATATGAAAGTGGGATTTTTATTTTATTTTTATTTCTTTTTTTTAAGATTTTATTTATTTATTTGACAGACAGAGATCACAAGCAGGCAGAGAGCGAGAGGAGGAAGCAGGCTCCCTGCTAAGCAGAGAGCCCAATGCAGGGCTCGATCCCAGGATCCTGGGATCGTGACCTGAGCCAAGGCAGAGGCTTTAACCCACTGAGCCACCCAGGTGCCCCTGAAAGTGGGATTTTTAAAAAACAACTTTCATCATATTTCAAAGTCATGCTTTTAGTATAAATTATTACTGCTTCTACATCTAACGATATACATTCTCCATTGATATTGGGATTCGTATGCAGGAAATACTCAGTTTGTATTTATTGACTGACCTACCTAAGACTTTAACATAAAGAGATGAGCTCCCTTTTTATGGAGGCCTGTTTAAGAACCGTTCTGTAGAAAGCAAGTTGCCTTTAAGTGAGACAGCTTTACATGGGTCACCTTTATAAGCCCTGAGTCCAACTAAAAATCTCTGTTAATTATTAAACCCTTATGTATTAACTGGATACCTGACACTGCAGATTGCTGATAGAGAGCGTTTGTCCCTCAAGTTAAGCCTAAATGCCAGTTGAAAAATGTAATTATCAAGGAATTTAGAAAAACCTTTTTCTTTTAAATTTAGTAGACAGAGTGGGGTATCTCTTGTTTTGGCTGGTATAGTTACGGGCTAAACAATTGGCTTAAACCTTGTTTGGGATTCCTGCTTGTTTTAGCATGGCGGAGCTTGGAGTTCACAGAACTCTCCTTTTGGTAATTTCTCTGACAGAGTGTCTTGAGGGCACAAAACTGCTGGCAGATTTAAAAAAATGTGGTGACTTGGAATGTGAAAGTAAGTTTGCTTTTCTTTTTTTCCTTCTTTTCCTCTTAAACTAAGGTTCTGAAATGACATAATATGTTATTATGGACATGTATGGAGAAGTGAGCATTAATATCATTGAGCAATATTTGCAATTATAAAATATACTTCCCTATAAAAAATGTTTGAAGCAAAGCATTTCATAATAATTTTTAATGTAAGTGTATCAAGGGGCAAAGATCAGTCTGATATATAAATATAAGAGAAATTATAAAGATATTAATCCGGGCTTCAAAAACAAATCAGCGCTTTTACTATTTTTGAAGATAGCTAAATTGATTTGTATTGATTTGTATTAAAAAGATTTCAAGCCATTTGATAGTTCTTTATTTATGAAGCTCTTACATTTTTTAGTTTCTATTTCACAATCAGAACTTTCTGATTCTCTTGAGTTTTCTAAAAATATATTTATTTTGTATCACCATGATTTATTATCTAAGCTTTATCAAACATTAATCATTTCTGTGTTCATTTATCATGTAAAAATAATGAAATCAGTGTTAGGAGCACATAATTTTATTTACATCCTTGAATATTAGCTTTCTCCTATCTTCTACAAAGAAAAACTAATTTTCATTTTATTGCTTAAGAAGTTATTTTCTGTTATTAGCATTAGGGTACAAGATGAATAGCATTACAATATATTACAATTGTTTTAAATATGTTCTATCTCTTCAGTATGTGAGAATTATTTCTGATTTGTAACATGTAAATTAAAAATGCAAAACATTATTAGTAGAAAAGTAATAATTTATAAGTAAATTTTTTATGAGTAAACATTTTCCTTCATCATTTGGATATATAATTTGATACGTAGAGATTTACTAGATGATGTTTTATAATAGTAATAATCTTTCTTTCCCTCTTTACAACCTCATTTTAATATCCTTAGGACCAGACATGAAACATGGAAAGGGAACACTCAAATTTATAGTAATTTATATTGTTATTTTAACTTTAATCATATGACTTAATCAAAATGTTTTACATATGTTAGTATAATTATAATAGGTAATATGGTATGTATATTACTTTATGTATTGAAGGGCTAAATCTAGTATATGTAGTTATGATTATAGTTATTGAAGGTCTATTATGTGCTGAGTCTGGAGGGATCAGAGTGTGTATCTAAGAGAAATAAAATGAAATGTCAGATAAGTTTCTTGACCTCCAGGAATTAGATCAACATGAAAAAGTAAATAGCAATACAACTTAAGGATAAAAGGTAAAATTGAAGTTCAGAAAAGGGACAGAACAGGCTGGACCAGTTTGGAATGTCTCATAGAAGAAGGAGGATATGAGTTGATCGCAAAGAGAGACTGAAGGGTTTCTAGGCTTAGGAAAGAACAGAAAGAAAAATCTCAGAATATGGAAGGCATATTGCAGTGAAAATAACAATCTCAGTGCAAATCTGGCTCCACCATTTATAAGGTGTGTGACCAACTCTCTAAGACTTATTTAAAGGCTCATTTGTTGGACTGATAGAAAATTATTGACCTTATAGGTCTGTTTTAATAAAATAAAGATAGGAAAGAGTTATCATAATGCCTGGAATATACAGAAGTCCCCTTTATCCATGGGTCACTTTCCATGGTTCTAGTTAACTGGGGTCAACCATGGTCCAAAGGCAGATGATCCTTCTGATGTGCAGCCAGAAGATTAGTAGTAGCCCAACTCTATGTCATAGTGCTTACCCCATGTACCTCGCTTCATCTCATTAGGGAGGCATTTTATCCCACATCATTTTGAGAAGAGTAAGTACATTTTGAGAAAGATTGGTCACATAACTTTTATTATAGTATATTGTTACAATTCAATTTTACTATTATTGTTGTTAATCTCTTACTGTGCCTAATTTAGAAATTAAACTTTATTATATGTATGTATACATAGGAAAAAACATAGTATATACAGGGTTCAGTACTATCTGTGGTTTCAGATAACCACTAGGTGTCTTGGATCATATCTCCCACAGATAAGGGGGACTACTGTAGTAGGTAATAGGAAGAAAACAAATTATCTTTACCTTTTTTTTCTAATAAGAATGATAATGACATATTCCAGGGACAATGGATAGATGAACTTGACTGTAAAGGAATAAAAGGAAGTCATTTTATTTTATTTTATTTTATTTTTAAAAGATTTATTTATTTATTTATTTGACAGAGAGAGATCACAACTAGACAGAGAGGCAGGCAGAGAGAGAGAGAGGGAAGCAGGCTCCCTGCCGAGCAGAGAGCCCGATGCGGGACTCGATCCCAGGAACCTGAGATCATGACCCGAGCCGAAGGCAGCAGCTTAACCCACTGAGCCACCCAGGCGCCCCAAGGAAATAATTTTAAATAAGGAAGAGGATCAGGTTATGGATAGCCTTAGATACCAAGCCAAAGAGCTTAGAATTGATTCTGTGTGCAGTGGGAAGTCTTTGTAGGTTTTTGAGGTGATAAATGATATGAAGAAATTAGCATTTGGAAATACATAGGATAGACTGGAGGAGGGCAATATGGGAGGGGGAGAAATATCACTTTAATTTAAATTGTGTGTTTTTCTCACATGTTTACATAGCTTTAATAAGCAGAGTCTTAGCCATGAGAGATTACAGAGGACCTGACTGCCGATACCTGAACTTCACTAAGGGAGAAGAGATATCTGTTTATGTTAAACTTGCAGGAGAAAGGGAAGATTTGTGGGCAGGAAGTGTAAGTATCTAGTTTTAAAAACTGAATGTAGAATAAATGACTAGCTTGTACAGAACATCTGCTTTTCACTTCTAAAGGAACTTTAATACATTTTAAAGCACTTTACATATATAGTATATATGTAATATATATTTAAAACCCTTAACATGTTTTTTAAAAAAAATATCTATTTATTTGGGAGAGAGAGCGAGTGCATGTGCATGATTCGGGGGAGGGGCAGAGGGAAAGAACCTCAAGAAGACTCCCCTGCTGGGTGCGGAGCCGTACATGGGGCTCTATCTCAGGACCCTGAGATCACGACCTGAGCCCAAATCAAGAGTCAGATGCTTAACCAACTGAGCCACCCATGCACCCCACTCTTCACATATTTAAACAAACAAAAATGGTCATGTTCAGTCTTGGTTCCAAAATTTATACAAAAGTAGCATTTTGGGAAGGCATTCTGGTTGGGATAGAGAACTAAGAGTGCCTTGAAATTATTTTTACATAGCATGCAGAGTTTTTGAAGTTAAGTTTTATATTTACTTGGTGAATAAAATTTAGAGGTGCTGGTGGAGATTATGGAATATCTAGGCAACACCAGTGATCCCATGGTGCTGCCAATGGCTAAGTTTAAGAGAGACCGGGAAGTTTTAGTTAATTAATCAGATTAAAAGACATGTCTTTCTGAGCACATAAAGGACTTTGTTTTTTAATTTAAGATTTCTTTATTTGAGAGAGAGAGCATGGGCAGGGTGGGGGTGGTGGTACAGAAGGAGAGGGAGAAACAGAATCTCTGTGGAGCAAGGAGCCCAACATGGGGCTTGATCTGAGGTCCCTGAGATCATGACCTGAGCCAAAGGCAGATGGACTGAGCCACCCAGGCACCCCAGGGATAGAGTTCTTATTGAAGAGATCCTCAGAGAGATGAGGAGCCTAGAGAATCAAGGTATGTGTGTGAATTTTTCATGAAAAACAACAAGTGGGAGAGCCTTTTATTTGGCCTAAAGTCTTATTACACGGAAATTCCTAGAAGCCTGAGTAAACTCTCTAAATATGTAACAGGAAAATTAATGATTAGTGTTTTCAGTTGGAAATATATGTGTATCTCTGATGGTATCATTATGCTTTATAATAAAAAGATGCTATAAGCAATTTTACTCCTATGCTGAACAAGTGTGACCAACCTGATGCATACATCATTTCCATATTGAATATGCAAAAGATTTTTCTGTTGTGTAGCCTCTGTGATCACTATTAGAAGGAGCAGGTTCTGTTTGAATCTATCTAGCTTTTTAGCATCGGGAGCTATATGACTCAACCCCTGACTGTCAACGGCCAGAATTATTTGACTTCTGCAGTTCCAAAGATTCCTTACTGCTTATGGTCTCTTACACATGCCAGTGTATGTCTCTGAACATATTAGAGGCAACCAATGGAGCTGTAAGATAAATGTCACCATAGGTATCACAAGAGGAAAAGAAAGCATTCTTTCTTGGTTTCTGTGTGTGAAAATGATAGTTCCACACAAAAGCAGCATGTAATGTGTGGAGGCCAGGGAGAAGTTTCAAGCATACTGAGTTCCATGCATTAGGTGTTTTAGTCTGGGCAGGAAGCTGTTCAAGAAACCACACTGCAGCATTCACCCACAGCCTATCAGGTTCTAAATAGCGGCAGGAGCTACAGAGCTGGAAGAACCACCGTTGAGATGTAGTGGTGCTGGATCAAGGGACCAAAACATGGCCTTTAAACTTTGCCGCGGATAGGAAATGGACTGAGAGTGGGATGGTGAAGCCTTCACTCTTGGGGGTTCTAGTTCACTGCTTGAACTGGATTAAGGAGATCCCTATTATCAAGGTAGCTGCAGAAAAGTTGAATGGAACCAAACCCTCCTAGGAGGATGTATAGATCTCTGCTATCTTCATGAATCCATCTTAGTCCTTCAGTGTTTAAACATCTTACTACATTTTGACATCCTGAAAATGTTGAATAGGTCACAGCTCCATCGGGCTTGGCTACTGCCACCATTCCTTTGCCCTTTGATATCCCTGGTTTACAGTGTAAATCTGGGGTCCACCTGGGTAAAGAAGGTCATTGACAAACATAAAAAGGAACAAAATCGGTGTGTGGGACGGTTTTCCTTCAGAAGTTTGAAAAAGTGGTCTTTTACAACTTGGCTCTATGTTCCCTCAATTTAGTACTATTCTTTTGAATAATAGGAGTGTCTGGCCAGCTTAGTTGGTAAAGTGTGCATCTCTTGAATTTGGAGGTTCTAAGTTTGAACTCCACATTGGGTACAGAGATTACTTAAAATTAAATAAAAGAATATGATTTCACTCACTTTCTTTTAGATGGTAAATGAAAGCCAATTAATGTTTGTGATTTGAGATAGATGAAAACCAAAGACGTGGGGCAAAATTAGGCTCCATAGTTACTATAGCTTCGACCACTCCTCCTTGCTAATCTTTATTCTTCATTTTGGTAGAAAGGAAAGGACTTTGGATATTTTCCCAGAGATGCAGTACAGATTGAAGAGGTCTTCATATCTGAGGAAGTTGAGATATCAACTAAAGTGAGTATTAATAACATTTCAGTTGTTAATTTAATTTATAATTTCTTGGCTAAAATAGCTTTCTGTAGTATAAGTGTCCATTGGCTAATTACCTTGTGTAGTGAATATATAAAATAGTTGGTGTGAGAACTTAATCTAGGAATAGTTTGAGTACGTGAATAAAATGAGGTAAGACAAAGTTGATGACAGGCATACTACTTTCTGAAAAATTTACAGACAGGTAGAGTAAAGTAGTTGAGAGCAGGATAGAGTCTGGACTGAGTTCAAAGACTGACTGTGGCCTTGTATACTTTAATTTTCTAAACTGTAAAATGAGGATGATGATTGTAATAGAGTGCTACTTCATAAATTTATTGGGGAAAGATGAACATACGTAAAGCATATAGAACAGCACTTAGTAAGTGCTATAAAAGTATTAGATATTATTATTAGTGTTATTATCCTACTGGGACAAAATTTCTTTTCCATCACTCTCTCTAGATCTCATATCTGTACAATTTCTTTTTCTGTTGAGTTTTAAATGAGCTTGATAGTGTTGGGTTTGATGATGTTGGGCTTGATAATGAGAAAAAGTATCAGAATGTGACTTTTTAATATGTAAGTTTGATTAGCCTATTTAATTCAGATTCCAGGTTAAGGACACTTAAATAAGGTCAATGTGAGATGAGTCAGCCTAATCAAGCAAACTGTCTATTATCTGGTTTTTTCTCAGCATAAATTCTGGGATTAATAGTCAGTTCAATGTATAATTACTGGTCCTGTCAGTTTTATCTCCAAAATATATCTGGAATACATCGTCTTCTTGTCATTTTCACTCTCTCCATAGCCCTAATCCAAGGCCTCATCATCTCTTGATTAAAATATTGCAGTATTGATCTCCTTGACTCTACCTTTGTCCTCTTCCAATACATTTTCCAAATAGCAATGGATCTCCTAAGAACAAAACCCAAACAAAAAAAATCCCAAAAAACAAAAACAAAAAACCCCAACAAAACTTCAGCTGTCATTCCTTTAGTTTAAAGCCTGTGAATGGCTTTCCAATGAACCTAGAATCAAGCCCCCAGCTCCTTACCCTGGCTCTACACGATCTGCTCCTGTCCTCCACCCCCTTCCCAATGACCCTGACACTGCTCTCTCCTCACTTACTATGCTCCTGGCCATGCTCGCTTATTGACTGTTCTTAGAACATGCTAAACACTTTCCCACCCCAGAGACCCAAACAGGCTGTTCCTTCTGGTTCAAATGCTTTCCCCAGGTTCTTCATTTAGCTAGTTCCTTCTTATCCTTTCTATCACCACGTAAACTTCAGTGCTTCAGAGAGGCCATCCATGATGATTCTTGTGGGACTACTCCATCTTAATCACAGATTCCTGTTTATTTCCTCCACAGCACTTATCACAATTCATTTTTTCTTTTGTTTACTGTAGAATTTCAGCACCTAGCACAGTGTACAGCACAGAGGAAGCATACAGAAGCTCTACATTCTTAGTCAAGTTCTCTGAGAAATAGACTCTGAGGGGGACCTTTGCACCCAAGAAGTTTACTGGGGGAGTACTCTTAGGAAGAACACCTGTGAGGGATCAAAAGAAAAAGCAGAATTGGACAGAGAAGTTAAACTGTGATGCCATTGCTACAAAGGTTTCAGTTGATTCCATAAGGAACTCTGAACCTGGAATGGCCTTTCAAGAGTTGTCTTGAATAGGGCAAGGTGTTGGGCCTTTTTACCCTTACATTACTGGCTAATCTGGGGTGGTGTAACTTGAGGTGGGTGAGGCTAGTGTTCACTACAGATAGTTACTAACTCTTCTAAGCACTTCATTCGTTTAATCCTCACAACACAACACCCATATAAGATAGATACATAAGATACCATATGTCATTATCCTCATTTTATAGATGAGGAGAATGAGACATAAAAATATCATATAATTCACCCAAGTTCACAGAGGTGAATATCAGGGTCTGGATTTAAACCCAAATGGTTGGCTCCAGAATCTGTTCTCAATCACGTATTATACTGCAGTGCCTAAAACATTGTAAAATTTCAATTTTGAAGTTCACTTTTTAAAAATTCTGAACTTTGGGGCACCTGGGTGGCTCAGTGGTTTGAAGCCGCTGCCTTCAGCTTAGGTCATGATCTCAGGGACCTGGGATCGAGCCCCACCTTGGGCTCTCTGCTCAGCGAGGAGCCTGCTTCCTCCTCTCTCCCTCTCTGCCTGCCTCTCTGCCTACTTGTCATCTCTGTCTGTCAAATAAATAAGTAAAATCTTTAAAAATTCTGAACTTTATTCTCATTTCATAATGATCATATCCAAAGAGAACTACATATCACTGTTTTATACCTTCAGATTAAAAAATAATAACTTTGAAAAATAACTTTGGTCGGTAGAGCATGGAACGGTTGATCTCCAGGTCATGTGTTCAAGTCCCACATTGGGTGTGAAGCCTACTTAAAGTAAAATTAAAAAAAATATTAACTTCACCATTTTTCTTCTTGCTGATTCAGTTGTTCTATGAGATGAAAAGAGGATTCTCTACCGCAATTGGCTATATACCATATCTCAATAAAAAAAGTCTAAATGTTGTAGTGCAACTTTTAACAAGGCCTTCAGGCTTTAGAGTCTCTGGGCTGTCTGAGCTGTGGCCATGTGCTGTGAAATTCCACTCTCAAATAACCACACAGCTGCATGTGTCTGGTTAGTACACTCTTTTTTTTTTTTTTAAAGATTTTATTTATTTATTTGAAAGAGAGGCAGTGAGAGAGAGCATGAGCTAGGAGAAGGTCAGAGGGAGAAGCAGACTCCCCGTGGAGCTGGGAGCCCGATGTGGGACTCGATCCCGGGACTCCGAGATCATGACCTGAGCTGAAAGCAGTCGTCCAACCAACTGAGCCACCCAGGCGTCCCTGGTTAGTACACTCTTAAAAGAAGCAAGATTTTATGGACATGTAGGCCTTTTCATCAAGAGTTAATTTTCAGAATATACTCAAAGCCTTGATTTTTCATTTAGATTTATATAATTGACCCTGAGTCAGTTGTGATATAAATGATTGAGATTAGGAGATCTGATTTTAGTTTTTGTTGTGCTGTTGAGCTAGTTGTATGGTCTTGGGAAAATCATAGTCATCTATTTTAAGTGACTTAAGGAAAAACAAGGATTTTTAGTATATGTATGTCAATCAGTTTTTCTCTTATAGGAATCTGATTTTCTTTGTCTTCTTGGAGTAAGTTACACATTTGAAAATGAAGACAGTGAATTAAACAGTGATGATAGCAAAAATATATATCTATATGAAGAAGATAAAGACCAAAAGTCTAGTGTGTATGAAAGTGATTTTCAGAGAGAATCTGGATTTTATTCAGCTTCTGAAAGTACTTTGTTTGAAGATCATTTTCCATCATCAGAAGCTCCTGAAGATATCAGAAGTACTAGTGAATCAAAAGACTGGGAAGGAGTGGATGCTGGAAGTATGAAAGAGGATTCTCTTCCAGAAGTGGATCACATCCCACCAGCTGAAGTAAAAGGATGGTTTGGATTTGGAAGGGGACTAGCTGAAGGAAAGACTTTTGAATCAGTTATTGAACCTCTACAAGAAAGTTCATTTCAAAGTAGAAAAATGGCAGGAGAAGATGAGAATGGCCTAGAGGAATTAAATAATGATGAACCCCAAACAGAACAAAAGCAAGAACCTGAATTGGAATTTGATTTAGTGCCAAAGAAACAGTCTGAACTAGGTTCTGAGTCAGAGAACATTAACAGTCCTGAAGCCACTAGTTGGTTTGGGGGTGGTTTTAAAAGTTATTTAGGTTTTGGAGGTGAGGATACAGGGCTTGAATTATTGTCGAAAGAAAGCAATCCACCACTACAAGATGCTCCTAATTCCATATCATCTGAAGAAGAACCCACAGTTCCATGCCCAGAAATATTAACAGAAAAAGAAGACACAATTGTCAATGATACCTCAATTCTCAAGCCAAGTTGGTTTGATTTTGGTTTTGGTATGCTAGGCTTTGTATATACCAATGAAGATGAAATTATATCAGATGATGGAAAAAGTGAAGGAGGATATGGAGGAGATAAACATGAACATCTGCCAACAAGCAAATTTGACCCTGATAAGGAACAAGAAATAAAAACAAGAGAAATTATGGAAACTGAAGATCAAGTAAGCAAGGAAAGAGCCCCAGAGAAAATAGATGATTCTGATACCTTACCATATTTTAAAAAGTTCTTATATAATTTTGACAGTCCTTGGAACTTCCAGGACATTCCAAAGGAAACAGAATTGCCATTTTCTGAGCAGATACAGGATGAAAATAATGTAATTGAAAATGATGAAACAGAAGAATTTTCAGCTGAAAATGATCACACAGATAATATGAAAGCTATGATGCTAAAAAGCAGATCCAGTCAGTCAGGTTGGTATAAAATATCTATAATTGTATGCATGTATATACTTATTTATTTATGAAAGATTCCATTTATTTGACAGAGAACGAGCACACACATAAGCAGGAAAGCAGCAGAGGGAAAGGGAGAATACAGGTGCACCGCTGAGCAGGGAGCCTGATGTGGGGCTCAATCCTAGGACCCTGGGATATTACCTGAGCTGAAGGCAGATGCTTAACTGACTGAGCTACGCAGGTGCCTCTAATATAATTAATTTTTTTAAACATAATTTATTTTTGTAAGTACAAATTGGATGAAAAAGTCCAGAAATCCATGTTTCTCAAAATACTCAATAATCAACAATAACCTTATTAACTACCGTTTATTAACTTCTGGTTTACTCTGGGACGAAGATCTTAATATTATAAAATAAAATGCCAAGGAAGAAGGAATGATTGGAGATATACAGATATTCCAAGAAGATCTTAAGATAGTTTGCAATAAGTGTTTATTTTTATTGAAGTAATATATGTAAACAGGTTTTAAAATATAAATAGTACTAAGGCTTTTTTTTTTGTCTTTTTAAACAAAAACAATTTTTCCCTGTGTCCATCTCTACTCTCACCTCTGTTCCAGAGACAGTAATTTCTATTTCTTTCTTTCTTTTTCTTTCTTTCCTTCTTTCTTTTTCTTTCTTTCTTATCCAATTTCTTTTAGTATTTATCTCTATTTTCTGAATAAAACCTTTATATTGTTCTGCTCTGATTTATACTTGATGATGTCCTTTGACTTTCTATTTTGGTAAATGAAGATTTCTTTTTGCTCATTTACATTAACTTTTTAGCTCATTAATAACATCCCAGTATAACTATATTTGAATGGTTTTCTGTCAATTCTGGGAGCTTAACAGTAGGCAATGGAAGAGGGCAGAGTATCAGAGGATACTTCTAGATCTAGATGTCTAGGTATCTAGCGATTTCTATGATTAAAAATCTGTGGATTCTATTTTAAGTAAAGAATTATGTAGGGGCGCCTGGGTGGCTCAGTGGGTTAAGCCGCTGCCTTCGGCTCAGGTCATGATCTCAGGGTCCTGGGATCGAGTTCCGCATCGGGCTCTCTGCTCAGCAGGGAGCCTGCTTCTCTCTCTCTCTGCCTGCCTCTCTGTCTACTTGTGATCTCTCTCTGTCAAATAAATAAATAAAATCTTAAAAAAAAAAAGAATTATGTAACACGACTTTCTCACATCTCCATTCTGATGTCTCTGTGATGGATAGATTAGAAACTCTGTAAATCCTGGCCAATAATTCAGGAACGATTGAACCCTAGAATGACAGATAGCCTTTCACAAGAAGAGATCAACACTGTTGCAAACTCAGAAGAAAACACATTTATTTCTATCAGAAATGGTTGATTTTCTTGAATTTCCAGAACTATATGTCATTTCTTAATATTCTCCAAAATGTGAGCTCTTTACTTAATATCCTTAATCAGAATGTAGATTTAGAGTCTTACCCTTTTCTAAATGAGAAAGATGTAGGTGTGCTGCTTTTTTTTTTTTTTTAAGATTTTATTTATTTATTTGACAGAGAGAAATCACAAGTAGGCAGAGAGGCAGGCAGAAAGAGGGGGAAGCAGGCTCCCTGCTGAGCAGAGAGCCTGATGTGGGGCTCGATCCCAGGACCCTGAGATCATGACCTGAGCTGAAGGCAGAGGCTTGCCCCACTGAGCCAAACAGGCACCCCGTGATGCATTTTAATGACTAAAAATATTAAAGACATGATGCCAAAGGCTAAAGAGGAAGTTATTTTGTTTTCAGGTTTTAGTTCCTAAAAGAATATTTATGAAAAAGCAAATAAGAGAAATTAGGAAGAATAAGTGAGACTAAAATAACGCAAAACAACATCAGGTCCAGAAATAAAGAAGATTCAAAAAACAGATATATGAAAATATTTTAAACATATGTATAGAACTCAAGGACAGCCTGAATATCACTTTAGTAGAATTTATTTATTATTTCATTAGTGATGCTAAGAGAATTTCTAAATATGAAAACTTCGAGAATAGTCAAATGAGAATAGGGCAATTTTGCAATTATAAATAGTTTTGAGGGACTTTTGTGAAAATATTCAGAAATTCCTTTAAGTTTCTAAAAAAGATATGTCATTCTATATAAACAAAGTATATTATTCCAAAATATTATGGTATTAATTAAATGGAAAATAACCTGGGGTCATGTAAAATTTGTTTTTAAAAAGGAATACTAAAAAAAATTCAGATAAAGCCGCAGGCCCTATTTTTGGTTCTTGGAAAAGAGCTACAACAGCCAAAATTTTCAGATAATTTCAACAACTCTTTTAGGAAATAGCAAATGAAAATTTGTCTTACTCAGAAAGAGTTTATGAAAAATGAATTACTGATCTTAAATCAATATTTATGAAAGTCTGAGACCCGAGATAACCAGATTTATAGAAAAACTAATATACTGACATAGGTATTTACAAAACAGATGAATTAGGGTACAGTTATTTATATTAAAATATTAACTTTTATAAAAGGACTCCAAATGAACTTATTTAAATAATGAGTTTCCCAAATAGTGTTAAATATGAAAAGTTCTTCATTATTTTATTTGACTTAAAATTCTGTTTATAAACTATTGTAAGAAAGGCATATCGTATCTAACGTAAATCTTTTTTTTAAAAGATTTTATTTATTTATTTGACACAGAGACAACCGGAAAGGGAACACAAGCAGGGGGATGGGATCCTGAGAAGCAGACTCCCCTCTGAGCAGGAAGCCTGATGCGGGGCTCCATCCCAGGGCCCTGGGATCATGACCTGAGCTAAAGGCAGACACTTAACCAACTGAGCCACCCAGGCCCCCAATTGCTCATTTTTTACTTTAATGTCCACTGGTGGCATTATTAAATTACTGATACGAGTTTGCTTACTTGGGACTTTCATCTTTTGAACAATGCCAAATAAATGACAGCATCAAAGTGTTATGTTAAATTTGTAATTGCAAGTGCAAAATTAGACACTGAATAATTCTCTTACTAATCTTTAATACTGCTTTTCAGAACTGCATTGATACTTTCCTCCTCTTATCTTAAAAACTAACTGAGAAGTAAATCCCACAATTTACCTGAATACTATATTTCAGGCTAGGACTTGTTAAAACTTTTTTTCCCCTTTAACTCTGATTAGTTAATTCAATCAAATGATCAGTTTAAACTATGTTTGAAAATTGAATTGTTTTAAAATAAATGACTATTAGATATGGTATGCTTATGAATATATGATCCAACAATACAAATGTGGGAAATTTTGACATGGTACAAATTAAAACTTTTTTCAATTAATTTTGGGGAAGGATAATTCTTTTATTTTATTATTTTTTAGGATTTTATTTATTTGAGAGAGAGAGAGAGCACAAGAAGGGGAGAGGGACAGAGAGAGTGGGAGGAGCAAACTCTCCACTGAGCAGGAATCCCAGCTCAGGGCTGGATCCCAGGATCCCCAGATCATGACCTGAGCCCAAGTCAGACAGCTAACCAACTGAGCCACCCAGGCGCCCCAGATAATCTTTTTAAAATGACGGTTCTCAAAAAGATGTGCATGTGCATTTTATTCCTAATTTGAACTTAGGTATATTGTCATTTAAAGGTATAAATCATTTAAATACTTAATATGTAGCATAAAATCAGAAAAATCAGGAATATTTTATTTGAATAAAATATCAATACTTACTTATTTAAATAAATATCAGCCTTGTTACACTGAAATTCAAAATAAAATATATTTTCCCTAATGATCATATTATCAATTGGATAAAATAAAATTTTTCTCTGCCAGTATAGATTTATGAATTCTGTAAAAAAAGCTGTGATAAGATTTATAATTTCTTGAGTTCCTTCTCAGAAATTTATGGCAGTTATTGAAGCAGGATGTCAATTTCATGAGATCACCAAATTAAGGAAACGTGTAATTTTGCCTTTGCTATACTCATTCATAGCATAGGAATGAAATCCAAAATACAATTTATTATTGATTTTAATTTGATTCCTCAGCACAACTTTATGCTGTTATTTGGTCTGAAGGAGGAAACAAGCATATACCTCTGTATACTCATGGAAGCATGTATTTTACTAACAGTTGAATGAGAATATCTTGAAGTTTTTTACTTTTATATTCTACTTAAAATATCTGTATTTTCCCTCTACTGAGCCAACATAAACATATAAAACATTATTTTAATGTGTTAGTCTTTGCTTAATTGCTAAAGTAACTTAAATAATGTCAAGAATATAGTTTGAACTTACATTACCTATATTTGTTTTACACAATACATTCTAATAAATTAGTAAATAATGTACTTTAAAATATAAGACATCCTATAATTACTAGCCAATAAAGATTGCTCTCAATCATTCAGAATTTTCAGTTGATATGAAAGATGTATCTGATTTTAGGGGCTTCTATTTAGGGGCTCCTGGGTGGCTCAGTGGGTCAAGCCTCTGCCTTCAGCTCAGGTCATGATCCCAGGGTCCTGGGATTGAGCCCCACATCAGGCTCTACGCTCAGCAGAGAGCCTGCTTCCCCCTCTTTCTGCCTGCCTCTCTGCCTACTTGTGATCTCTCTTTCGCTATCATATAAATAAATAAAAATAAAATCTTTAAAAAAAAAGCTTCTGTTTAGGGGTGCTTGGGTGGCTCAGTCAGTTAAGTGCCTGCCTTAACTGGTTCTTCCGTCTTTGGAGCTATCTCATTTAAAGTTTGAGAGAAGGGATGCCTGGGTGGCTCAGTCGGTTAAGTGTCTGACTTTGTCTTGGGTCATGATCTCAGTGTCTTGGGACTGAGTCCCATATCAGGGTTTGCACTCATCCGGGAGTCTGCTTCCCCTGCCTCCTGCTCCTCCCCACTCTCATGCTTGCATGCTCTCTCTCTCTCCAAAATAAATAGATAAGATCTTAAAAAAAAGGTTGGAGTGATAATGGCTTTTATACTTAATAGTTCACACTGGCAGATATGTGTTTTAGATATGCACGATCCAGTGGAGTAGATTGCAGAACTTGCAAAATAATTGCTGTAAGTTTCTTTGTGTAACTGGCTCAGTTTGTTCTATTTATTAAATAGAACAGGTGGTTATGTAGGATATGATTACGGTGGTTACAACAACTATTGTGGATATGGTGATTACAGCAATCAGCAGAGTCGTTATGGGAAAGTATCCAGGTGAAGTGGTCATTGAAGTAGCTACTGACCATACTAAATTATTCCATTTGTAACTTATCCCCAACAGGTGGTGAGACAGTATTTTCCAGTCTTAAGATTCATTTGAAGGTGGCTCTTGCCACCTGCTCATAGCAGTTCAAACAATTTTTTGTATCAAGTCCCCAAATGGAAGTATCATGTTGCGTCCCTCTGAAGTTTGATTCTGAGTTCTCATTAAAAGAAATTTGCTTTTGTTGTTTTATTTCTTAATTGTTATACTTCTGAATCAATTTGTGTTTTATGTCCCTTCAGTATTCTAGAGCGAGTCTTGTGTTAAAAGCCTGGTGTGACAGGGTCATGATGTGGTAGTGTCTTACTGATTTTAAATAAATCCTTTTGTATATAAAAAAAAGGTAGGCTGTAGATAGTATAAATAATATTGGTCATTTTGACTCCTGGTTCTTTAACAGATAAAGTAAGAGTAATCTATCTTACCAATTTTCTTGAATGGCAGGGATATACATTTTTTCAATGGCATTTAAGTATTACACTTCCTAAGGTAATAAATGTATCTAAGAGGAATGAAATTCTATAGAGAGATATTTAGTATCTTACTCTTAGTAACAAGCCTATATAGCACAATAGAGTTGTTGACAGTTATGTTAGTTTTTTTAAAAATAGTTTTTAGGACAAGAAAACGATGTAGAGAATAGAATTGTATATCGTTTTAAAAATTCTTCCTTGGTAAAAGAATAAAGAAAAGGCATAGGCTGAATAATGACCGTTCAAAGATGTTCATGTCTTAATTACCAGGCCCTGTGACTATGTTATTGAACATGGCAAAAAGGACTTGAAGATATGATTAAATTAAGCATCCTGAGATGGAGAGAGTATCCTAGTGGACCCAATATAATCACAAGGTTTGCTAAAGGCGGAAGGAAGGAGGGTCAGAGTAAGGGAGAGTGCTATCTTTGAAAATGAAAGAAGGGGCCATGAGCTAAGTGATGCAGGTTGCCTCCACAAGGTAGAAAAGGCAAGAAAATAGATTCTCCTCTAGAGCCTACAGAAGAAACACAGCCTTGTTAACACCTTGATTTTGGGACTCCAGAACTGTAAGAGACTATATGTGTACTATTTAAGTCACTGAATGTGTGGTTATTTATTACATTAACAGTAGGAACTAATGCAGGCTGCAGTTTATATTTTAGTGAATTCTTTCCATTAAGAAATGTCACGGGGCACCTGGGTGGCTCAGTGGGTTAACCCTCTGCCTTTGGCTCAGGTCATGATACCAGGGTCCTGGGATCGAGCCCCACATCGGGCTCTCTGCTCAGCGGGGATCCTGCTCCTCCCTTTCTCTCTGCCTGCCTCTCTGCTCTGCCTACTTGTGATCTCTGTCTGTCAAATAAATAAATAAAATCTTAAAAAAAAAGTGTCACAATGACCACAAAAATTCAAAGAATGGTCTGCCTAAAAAACAAAAGGAAAGCTTACAACAAAGCAAGTATTAAAGGAACTCCAGGGGTGCTTGGGTGGCTCAGTTGGTTGAGTGTCCAACTCTTGGTTTCAGCTCAGGTCATGATCTCATGAGTTGTGGGATTAAGCTCTGTATTGAGCCCCATGTGGAGCCCTGTGTGGGGCTCCCCACTCAGTGGAGAGTCTCCTTGAAGATTCTTTCCCTCTGCCCCTCCCCCAATGCATGCTCATGCTCTTTTTCTCTCCCTTAAAATAAATAAATCTTAAAAGAAAAACCCAAACATTTCTAATTTTATTTGCAGATATGGCTTCTGAAATAGAATCACCCAGGAGAATTCATAAAGAAGTACTTTTCAAAACTCCATCTTCTAAAAATAATGATGAAAAATCAAAAACATTACTAGGTACTGAAGGATCTACTCAGGCAGAAATAGACAGATCTGTGGAAAATACCCTGCCAAACCATCAAATGGTTTCAACTGATTACTTTTTCTCTTCTCAAGAAGGTAAGAAAAAAGTTATTTGTTCTCTAATGCAGCAATTAAGGAAGAAATTAGATTTAAAAGTTACCTCACATCAAGTGTTGACTTATTTCTATTTATAAATTGACAGAAGATGCTTCTGAGTGTTGGATTCTGAAATATTTATTTCAAATTGACATTTGTGATTTTATGAGTTCTGCATTTTCCCCAATTATAATTCTTACAGAAAGGGTAAGTTGACCTTGTAAATCTTTTGCATTAATTTTATCTATTTTTCTAAATATAGCAGTAGTTGAAAATGATCTTTGAGAGAATCTTCCCTATGCAAATGTTACATAATGCTTCTCTTTCCATGAAATCTTACCTGTAAGATTTCTCTTACAGGAATGTTTTGTTGTATGGATATTGTTAAGGATTTTGTTTTTTAACTTTTCCTTAAGTTTGTTGATCTTCAGCAAACAGGTAAAGGCCAAATGCAGGCCTGGTCAGGAAGTTATTGCATTAGTTTAGGAAATAAACGGTGAAGGTCTAAATCAAGGTATATAAACTCAAATGAAATGAATGAAGTAAAGATGAGAATTGTAACCAACAGAGTGTGTATGCTTTCTCCAAAGGATGTAGCTACTGTTTATCTTTAGCCTGGTTTGGCCAGATCTTTTGATATTTCTTTTCTTTTCTTTTCTTTTCTTTTCTTTTTTCTTTCTTTCTTAAGATTTTATTTATTTATTTGAGAGACAGAGATCACAAGTAGGCTGAGAAGCAGGCAGAGAGAGAGAGGAGGAAGCAGGCTCCCTGCTGAGCAGAGAGCCGGATGCGGATGCGGGGCTCAATCCCAGGATCCTGGGATCATGACCTGAGCCAAAGGGAGAGGCTTTAACCCACTGAGCCACCCAGGCGCCCTCAGATCTTTTGATATTTCAAGATAAGCTGGAAATCTGGATATTTTGTGTGAAATCTCTTGATTTTGAATGCTGGCAAATATTCAGATTAAAAGGAAATACCATACAGTTCAGAAAAAATGTTCTGTGGATCAAGTTTGGCCCACTAGACATATTTCTTAACCTTTGGTCTAATAGCTGATGGTGGTTGTTAAAATGATTGGAAGGAAAAACTAGATAGATCTTTTGTAGATAGATTTCATTGGATTTTATGATTGAATGTGGATGGAGAGGAAAATAGAAAAAGTATAGGTAACTTACCAGGTTTCTAGTCTGGGTGACCAGGTAGATGGTGGTGACTGTGATAAGAGTCTGTGAAAACTGTATCATTTTGCTTTCAGAGGCTTCCTCCTCACTTTATTTCTTTGCTAAGGTTCTAGAGTTGATATTACCTGTAAAATAAGCCCAGAGAAGTGATTTATTTACCCCATATGATTTGGTCTTAAAGATACTGATTAAAAACTTAGAAATCTGCTCCATCATAAGAGAAAAGAAGAACAAATAATAATGATGATTATAAAATGTCATAATAAAACTTTCAGCTCCTCATGGAATTAATTCTATACTGGTATGTCCTACTGACACATCCCTCCCCCCACAAATTATACTAGTGAAGATACTAAATTAAAAAATAATAATTTATTAACCAGTATGCCATACTCACTTCTCATATAAAGTGCTTATTTAATAAAGGCTATGAAGTATGTTTATTTTTGTGGACTCAGTAAATATAGTCAAACACATTTTACTTTAACCATTTTGGTTGAAATTTTTTAGACAGGGGAATTTTGAATTTAAATTTGTGGTAATTATCTTGTGACCTTGGGAAGTTACTTATTCTGGAAGGCAGTCTCAGGTTTAAAACTCTAATATTAGAAGCTAAGACTAGATGACAGGCTACTGGTCAAAATGGACTTGTGTGTGTTGTTTAAACAATTAAGAACAAGTTACCAACATTTAAAGGGTGAGTTGATACAAAAGTCTGAATTTCTGGATTGTCTTGAAAAAATAGAAGACTGTAATATATAGTCTCCCATTTTCAGATGGCAATAAGAAGCTCAAGGAATAGTACTTGCATTGAATTGACACAAATTCTTCATTTCCTTGCATTTAGTTCACCTGTATGGCCTCTGTAGGGCTTTAAGTTCATAATGATGGACTAAATGTTCTGAAGAATTCTTGCCAGACCTAGAATTCTAACAATCTTAGTGCATCTACTAAGCTCCCATAATATAGCTTTGAATAGCTGCAGTAAATGGAAAATTTGAGCAATTTTCCAGTTAAATTTACGTGAAAAGTTTTCCTTTTCTTCTGAGTAAATGTTTCAGGTGATTGTTTCTATTTGCTAGTAATTTCAGTTAGATTTTGTACACAACATACTTTCTTTGAATTGTTTAAGTAATATGAATTAATAGTACTTCTTATCTACTTTATAATTGAGGAAGTTATTTGAGTTCTAACATTTATCTGTTCTTAATTAGAATGCTTCATTTATATGTGGAATTAACAAAGGAAATTACCCAGCTCTTGTTCAGCAGGTAACTCCTGATTCAATATGTTCTGAGAACAACTCTTACATCACTAGTACAGAGAATGAAAGTGTGGCTCAGCATGTTTGGTTTTCTATAGCCCATGACATTGCCTGTTAAATGGGTGTTAAATAGTAGCTACAGACTTGCAACAGGGCCCTTCCTAAGGGAAATTAGTTTCTGGGTTGTGGACAAGGTTTACTTGTTAGCATGTTTCCAGTGTTCTTGGATGCTTCCTAGTAGCTGTCACTAACACTGAAAACATTTGCTCTCCAGTTCCCTTAAAGCAGGTCTACATAAGACAGCAAAATCCCATGTCTATTTGAGAACAGTCTTTGAATATCTTTTACATGGTAAAAATCATGTATTCTGTATGAATAGACTATCGAACAAAACATTTAATTTTTATCAGTTATTAAATTCAGGATATCTATTTTCAATTGCAATTTTTATGAGGATAATAATGTGTATTATATTTTAGAAAAAAAAACATATTTAATCAGGAGTGACGGCCATGAAATTGGCTTCTGTGTTGGTAGTCACAACTCCACCTACAGCTCCCCTTTACCACACAAGTGTCAAAACAGGATCACAGTCTGTGTGGAAACAGGAGTGTAGCAGATGTATGAGAATCTGAAATCTTTTTCAAGGATATGAGGTGCTTAGTAGAACTTTATTTACACGTTAAGATATTTTAACATGAACTTTTTAAAAAATGGAATTGAACGATCTAGAGGAAGAGGTAAGTTTCTATATGACTATTAAGTGTATAGAAGAGAAATTAGGTTTGAATCTGGCACTAAGTTGAAATTTTACTGCCTTTTGTTATGGGGGAATCTTTTAGATTTTTTAAAAATTTCATTTATTATTTTGTCCCCAATCTATGTTTTTATATTTGGAATGGTAATGATTGAAAAGTTGGAAAAGGGCACAGACTGCCTTAGGGTAGGCAGAAGGATTAAAAAAAATGTTTTAGGTTATAAATAAGTCCTGAAAGTTGAAAATGATTCTAGAGTTTTCTGAAAATGTTCAGACATTGAAGAATTTTTTTATCGATACAGTATTCTAATTGATATACATTGTTCTATGACTCTGAAATTTTAAATATAAAATTTTAGTTATGCTTGTTTTTACTTTAATAAGCTATTCACATAATTTCAATACACACTGTCCAACATATAGGAAGGTTGTATAATACCTTAAAAATGGAGAATTATTAAGCAATTTCTGCTGCGTTCTGATACTGGTAGTTCCTGGAAACTCTGCAGGCTGATGTGGCAAAAGAGTGCACTTTGAGTTCCAAACAACTAAGGCCCCATTTTGGTCCTAAAAATCAATTGCTGTGAACCTGGGCCTTTTAAAAATTCTTTTTAGGACAACTGTTCTGTTGCTGACAGTTTACATTTGGGAAATTTCCTAAGGATTTAAGATTTTGTTCAACTATTGAGTTCTCTTGAGTGATTTAGGAAGAAGAATCTGCTTCCTTTTGTTACTTCACCGAGGACTTGTAGCAGGCTGAGTTTGTTGAGAATTATTGCTGGCAAGTAAGCTTTCCGGGTTATCCTTTACACCTATGTCAGCTAAAAGTCTCCCATGAACAAATCCAGCACTCCATACCTTATTCAACAGACCTAAGAATAGGGTCCTAAATTTAGACCGTAAGGCGCTACTTTTAGCTCCTCTTCTCGGAGGAGAACACCAATCGCTCGGCCAAAGTCCACAGTGGTTTGCTTTAGCGTTTGGGTAACGAGGAGCTCCTGGAATTTAAGACAGTTCTGCCTAGCAAGTGCCCAGGTAACTTAGGTAGAAGTGAGTAAACCCCTGCAATCCTCCTCTGGGCAGAGGAGACGCGATCGATGTTCTCCTGCGTGGGAGAGGTTAACTGTGCCCAAACCACAGCTGACCCGCGACGCCTTCCTGTCCAAAGTCCGAAGTCCGGACGCGGTTGGCAGGACGCACAGGCACGGGCCCTGCAGGCCGTTTTCTGACTGGAATGAAGGCGGCGGCCGGTTTCCTTGGGCCGGCAGCATCCCCCGGGGGTACGCTGGGCTTCAGTGGGGGTGCAGATAGGCTCTTTTTTTTCAAGTTTTTTAAAATTATTATTTTTATTTTTTAAAGATTTTATTTATTCATTTGACAGACAGAGATCACAAGTAGGCAGAGAAACAGGCAGAGAGAGGAGGAAGCAGGCTCCCTGCTGAGCAGAGAGCCGGATGCGGGGCTCGATTCCAAGACCCTGGGATCATGACCTGAGCCGAAGGCAGAGGCTTAACCCACTGAGCCACCCAGGCGCTCTGGGCGCAGGTAGGCTCTTGAGTGACAGCGAGGGAAAAGTGCCGGGGGCTGGTACAAGACTTGGCCTCCACCCTTAGGTCAAGGGGGCCGCGCTGCGCTCACCCCGCGGGGCTTCACGCCTAGGGGCCTCTAAGAAAAGCCTCACCGCTACCGCGGCCACCTGACATAAGAGGGTCCTCAGCCACTGCCCTAGTCTTCTGGGCTGTGCGGCCCACACCACAGCGCAGAGCCTGAGGCCCAATCCCACTGTCTCTGCCTCGAGCCCCGCGACTACCAACGGTACTTGGCTTTGCCAAGTCCCGCGCCAGCCCCTTTAAGAGCGCGAGGCAAGGACACGTCGCGCGAAGAGGGAGGGGAAACTAACCGCGTCCTCGCGTCCCCGCCTCCCCGCGGCGGCCTGGCCGAAACCAAATCGAGGGGTGGACCGCGAGGAGAGGGCAGGTCGCGGGCTCCTTGCGAGACGGGTTTGGACCTTCGGATCTTCAGGACGTAGACCATAACTAGGGGCGAGGCTCTCCGGGTGGGCAGCATTGGACACTTGAGGCTCGTTGGTTCGGTTCCTTCCAGCAACCCCCTGCAACCGGCTCCGCAGTGGTCTGCTCCGGTTGCCGGGTGCAGGTTTGGGTTCCGGACCCAGAGCCGCGGTGTTCTATACAATTGTTGTGGCTACGCCAGGCCCTGGCTGCGGCCACTCCAGTTGAGGCGACGTTGGCGCCATGGAGGAGCCCAGGACTGGCCCTCAGTCGTACTTTGGGCTGGTCCTGGAAAAGCTACGTACGGTGAGTTCATGCGTGATCGGGGTTACTTGGCCCAGGGGTTGCAGGAACCTCCTGGGGAAGGAAGCAGCCGACTTTGGCTTTGCGGTCTTAGTGGCGGTGGTTAGAGGTCCTGAAGCCAGTCGTCTCACCTGCTGTCGGGCTCCTGCGTGTGTCCGAGGCAATAGCCAGGTTCGTAGGCTGCTGGGGTGGTTGTGTGTGTGTGTGTGTGTGTGTGTGTGTGTGTGTTGGAAAGGGGCTTGGAGATCCTGAAGGTGAAGAGAGCATTTGCCTAGCAGGATTTTGCAAAGGTGTGTCAAATGTTTTCGGATTACTAAAAAGAATAGCTTTTCCGTCACGTTATTCGCTTTGAAAGGGGTCAATGACATGTGGTTCTCTCGACTGAGAAACTTGAGGACTAATCCTCGGAAATGAATTCCTTTTAGTGATGAAACTTCTCGTTGTCTTGAAGGGACACCGAAACCTGGACGGGAAGTTAGGATTGTAATTCTGCGTTTTCTTGTAATAAAGAATGCTCTTTCGAGATACTTTACCCTAAGTGACATTTTTCTTCGCATCTCTCTGTGTGTTGTTAATGTAAAAGGTCGTACTAGTGTAAAATCTGGAGATCCTGAACTCCCAGTGTACAAAATGTTTTTAGTTTTTTTAAGGTCAATTTGTGTAACAAGTTGTGTAGATTTTTCTCTCTTAAATATTTATGTGTCTTTGTTGACAAGTTGAGGGGTATTTATATGCCCGTGCTTTAAAATGTTTGCATTAAAAATCAAGTCTTTTAAAATATTGGGTCAGTTATAAGGATTGGTTTTTTTGTTACCGAAATTAAAAGTACTGTTGTCATGGTGTTCATTCAACCAAGTGCATTTAGTGATTGTGTGTGTGTGTGTGTGTGTGTGTATGTATTTGCGTGTGTGAGACAGTTCTGTGGAGAATTTAAATGGACTGAATTTGGGCCATGCTGTCCGTTAAGGGAGAGAAGAAAAAAGAAATAGTGCAAAGTAGAAACTGATGAACTGCTTACCAAATCATACACAGAAAGTGCTAGGGAAAGTGAGGGGTGGGAGAGATTATATCCACTTGAGTGTGTAGGAAAGCCTTTCCAGGCTAACTGAATAGCTTATGCAGAGGGGACAGGAAACAGCATTGTATGTGCAGAGAATTGTTTTACTCAAATACAGAGTAGGCTCAGGGAATGATGCGCAGTGATGCTTGTTGGAGACATAAGTAGATTCCAGTTGATGTAGGTACTGGAGAGCATTCGAAGAATTTCAGTGGTTAGACTTTTGGTTTAAGTAGCTTCCTGATGGTGGCATGTGAGTTAGATGTAAGGAAAACAAAACTAGAAATGGTGTAGGGGAGAGATGACATAGTAGTCAGGTAGGGATAAAGAAGAGGGTACTGAATGGGAGAAATACTTAGTAGCTAAGAGCGAAAATGGGTAGGATTTTGCTGATTGGATGGGAAGGGTGAGAGAGAGGAGGAGTCCAGAATGACTGCCAGGTTTCTGGCTATGGCAGCTTATTCATTCACAGAGGTAGAGTTTATAGGAAGAGAAGCATATTGTGGAACAAGAGATGATTTTATTTTGTACATATTTCCGGCCTGGCCGAAACCAAATCGAGGAGTGGACCGCGAGGAGAGGGCAGGTCGCGGGCTCCTTGCGAGACGGGTTTGGACCTTCGGATCTTCAGGACGTAGACCATAACTAGGGGCGAGGCTCTCCGGGTGGGCGGCATTGGACACTTGAGGCTCGTTGGTTCGGTTCCTTCCAGCAACCCCCTGCAACCGGCTCCGCAGTGGTCTGCTCCGGTTGCCGGGTGCAGGTTTGGGTTCCGGACCCAAACCGCCGTGTTCTATACCAATTGTTGTGGCTACGCCAGGCCCTGGCTGCGGCCACTCCAGTTGAGGCGACGTTGGCGCCATGGAGGAGCCCAGGACTGGCCCTCAGTCGTACTTTGGGCTGGTCGTGGAAAAGCTACGTACGGTGAGTTCATGCGTGATCAGGGTTACTTGGCCCAGGGGTCTCAGTGGGGACAGGATATAGTATTGTGGAAGTGTTTTCTTTCTTTCTTAGGGAGAGAATCTTAAGCAGGCGCCCCACTGGGCATGCAGGTTAATGAACTATAGATAGCAATTTGGAAGGAGTACTTACATGGATCAGAGTTATAAAGCAGACTTTGGAGAGGAGAATAGATGTTAAAGGGTGTTTTTCTAGGTAGAAAGGGCCTAAAAAGGACTGAACCCTGGAAAAAAATCAAACCTGATTAGACTTCAGGTTTTTCTTAAAAGGACATTTTCTTTTTTTCCCCTACCGTTCTCTTTTCTGTGATTGAGTAGTATCTGGGGCCTAGTAACAAAAGAATAACCTTATTGGGTGAGGATGAGTAATGAACTGACCCAAGGAAAGATGAAATATAGGAGGAACTGTAAAAGCCTTAAGCTGTTTTGTACCAAACACCTGCTCGGGAGAGAAGTTGTGTGGAAAGGCCATGGTTACAGGATCATGGTCTTTGAAGGAGGTTTAATAGAAATAGTTACCTTTACTGAGTTCCTGCCCTGCATGTTGAAGCAGCATTATTCCCATGACAGGTAAGAGAAGGGAGCCACAGAAGTAGGGTAGAGATACTCAGATTCCAAATGCAAAGCTTCATCAGTGGTTTTCAAACTTTTTTTTTCTCTTAAGCCGCAGATCTATTTTTTTCCTTCACTGTGGGGGAAATCATAAATGGAATCCAGTATACTCTACACATAAAACCTAAACTGGTCGATACCATGTTTAGAGGACCTGACCTCAGATTCTTTCTTTTCTTTTGGCCTCTTACTCTCAGAAGCTCTGAGGGGTCTCTGTAGAACTCCAGTTTGCACATCACTGCATTTTACCATAGTGCTATTTTTCATCACTTGGTGATTGAAAATTGCCTGAAAAATATACTGCGATACCTTCTGTTTGGTAGTCTGGCAGCCCATTTCATGAAAAGAGTGTTAATAGTGTTTACACATAAACTTGCACTTACTTGTGTCTTAGTTGTGGGGGCTCCTGTAATAAAAACACCACAGACTGGGTGGCTTAAATAAGTAACATTGTTCTCAGTTCTGGAGGCTGAGAAGGCCAAGATCAAGGTGCTGCAGATCCTGTGTCTGGTGAGGACATACTTCCTGGTTCATTCTTCTCATTATTACCTCACATAGTGGAAAGGTCAAGGGAAGTCTCTGTGGTCTCTTATAAGGGCACTAATCCCATGCACAGAGGCCCTACTCTCATGATCACCTCCCCAAAGCCCTACTTCCAAATATCATTACACTGGGGATTAGGTTGCAACATATGAATTTTGGGGAACACAAACATTCCATGTATAGCAGTTTGTAATCAATACTTTTTATCAAATGTGCATTTTTGAGAAGTTAATTTTTTTGTCTTGAAGGTTTTGGCAGGAGTGCCTGAAGATATGAGACCAAATTCCTATGGTTTTCCATGGGAATTGGTGATATGTGCAGGTGTTTTTGGATTTTTTGCTGTTCTCTTGTTTTTGTGGAGAAGTTTTCAGTCGGTAAGTAACCAATACTAAGAGAATATTCATGTGTCTTAAGGTTGAACAGTTAATATGAGAAACATATCTTTTATTTTAAGGAAAGAAGTTAGCTTATTGTTAAGTGCATTTCTCATGTTAATTTGTAGCTATTAGAAAATGTGAATTCAGAGGAATTTTTTTAAGTGTAAAAATTTTAAAGACTTTTTTTTGTAGAAGTATACTACACTAATATTAAAACCTTACATTTATATTTTATTTATTTATTTTGATCTGTGCTTATTTATTTTTTAAAAAGTTTTTATTTATTTAACAGCAAGTGCAAGAGAGACAGAAAAAGATTATGAGTGGGGGTGGGGTGGGGTGGGTGGTGGGGAGGGACAGAGGGAGAGGGAGAAGCAGGCTCTGCTGAGGGAGAGGGATCCCGAAGTGGGTATCAATTCCAAGATTCTGGTATCAAGACCTGAGCTGAACAACATATTACAACAAAACAAAAATATTACCAAGATATTTGGTTATTCTTAATTGACATATTCTTGCAGGGTTGCCTAGGTTTACTTCTTCCCGTATTTGAATACTTCTTTCAGAGTTGTTTTTAGTGTAGATCTTTGTATGGCAAACCTTCTGAGACTTTGAGTGCTTGAGGATATTTGAATTAAGCTCCCACATTGGAATCATAATTTGTTTGCTATAAACATTTTTGGTCCAAAGTTCTGTCCTTTTAATACTTTAAACCCTTACTTCCTTGTCTTTCTATATCTAATGTTACTTATTGAAAAGTCTAATGCCAGTGTGACTGTTACATAAGTGATCTGTTCTCTGTGGAAGCTTTTAGAATCTTTTAATATTCTTTTTTTTTTTTTTAAAGATTTTATTTATTTATTTGACAGAGAGATCACAAGTAGGCAGAGAGGCAGGCAGAGAGAGAGGAGGAAGCAGGCTCCCTACTGAGCAGAGAGCCTGATGTGGGACTCCATCCCAGGACCCTGAGATCATGACCTGAGCCGAAGGCAGAGGCTTTAACCCACTGAGCCACCCAGGCGCCCCTTAATTTGATATTCTTATTTCAGTATAATGTGTCTAGGCTTAAATGTTTTTTCTTATTTCTGTTTTAGAATTCTCTGGAATCTTTTAATATGAGGTCTTTCATCTTTTTTTTTTTGATCCTAGAAGATACTGTCTGCATGTTACATTTTATTTTCTCCTTTTGGGACTGTGTTTTTAGATACTGCCCTTTCTACTTCTGCCTTCCATATCTCTTAACTTTTGTTTTTCAATTTTTTAATAGGTTCTTACTACCTTTTGAGATAGGTCCTCAATGCAATAATTCAGCTCACTAATTTAATCCTATATCAATACTAATTCTACTGTACTTCGACTTTAAAACTTCAAGACTTTTAAAAATTTTATCCCTATACATCTTCTGTAGATGATTTAAGTTCTCTAAGCCTGCTTATCTTTACAAATGGGATTTTTCCTTCATTTTTTGAGAGAGGAAGAGGTTAAAGAAGAAAAAGATTTTATACTCAGTTCAATCCATGGTAATATTTTCTCAAATGTTATTTTGGGTGTTATCAGTGGGGGAGATGGTACTAAGGGCTTCCTGAAATTGTTTGAGGGCCAAATATGTTTGATGAACAGTGGGATAAATGAAATGAAACAGGTGTTTTAAGGTAGAGTTATTTCAGAGCCTTTAATATGCTAATAAATAATGTGGTTCTTCAGTAGAGAGACTTTGATATGTAACATTTTTTTCCCATTGGAAAAAGAACACTTTCAGATAATGGATATTCATACTAAACCAATAAGAAACCAGTTATTTTTCAGTTAGTAGAAGTTAGATTTACTTGAATATGTATTTGTTTTAATGTAATTTTTGTTAAAAATTTGTTTCAGGTTAGAAGCCGGCTTTATGTGGGTAAGCTCTTTTTTCTCTTCTAGATCTCATCATTATTTATAATTTTGAAACTTAGAACAATTTACATATGATGATGATATGAACTTTCTTTTCAGAAAGAGAGAATAAGCTTGCTGTAGAACTTTCTACACTAGTTGATGAAAAATGTAAACTACTTGAAAAATTTAGCCTTGTTCAAAAGGAGGTAAGATATTTTTGAAAATGTTAACATTCATGTTAAAGGACTTAATACTCTTCAGTGCAGATACTTCAGTGTTAAGTTTAAGATTATTAATGCTTTATAAAGTGTGAGAGTTTAGTTGTTATTCATATTACCAATCTTATTAATTTTAACCATTGTGGTAGGTGTATAATGGTGTCTCATTGTGGTTTCAATTTCCCTGATAATGAGGGTAAGCACTTTTTCATGTGTTTATTGGTCATTTTGAATATTCTTTTTGTGAAGTTGACTGCTCAAGCTTTTTTTTTTTTTCATGTTTGAGAAGGTATCATCTCTCTTTTTCCTTTTCGATATGTAGAATATTTTCTATATTTGAACATGAACCCTTTGTCAGATATATGTACTGCAAATATTTTCCTCCACTGTGTGGTTTACCTTTTTATTTCAAACGGTAAGCAGAAGTTCTTAAATTTAACCTAGTCTAATTCATCCATCTTGTCTTTATGATGACTGCTTTTTTTGTTTCTTATTTAAGAATTTTGACTACTCAAGGATACGAAGATATTCTTTTGTGCTACTTTTAGAAACTTTGTTTTACTTTTCTCATTTAGTCTTTGTATAAGTTTGCTAGGACTGCCATAACAAAATGCCACAGACCAGCTGGCTTACCAACAGAAATTAATTTTTTCACAGTTCTGGAGGCTAATAGTCTAAGATCAAAATGTTGGGAGGTTTGGTTTCTTATGAGGCTCCTCTCCTTAGCCTGCATGTAATTACCTTCTTGCCCTTATCTCACGTGGTCTTACCTCTGTGCAGGTGTTCATTTGTGTGTCTCTGAGTGTCTATATTTCCTCCTTTTTTTTTTTTTTTTTTAGTTTTATGTATTTATTTGATGCAGAGAGAGAGAACATAAGCAGAGGGAGCAGTGGGCAGAGGAAGAGGGAGAAGCATGCTTCCCCTGAGCAGGGAGCCCAATGTGGGGCTCTATCCCAGGACCCTGGGATCATGACCTGGGCCGAAGTTAGAGGCTTAACAAACTGAGTCACCCAGGCACTCAATGTTTCCTCTTCTAATAGGGACAGCAGTTTGATTAGATTAGGGCTCACCATAAAGACTTTATTTTAATTTAACCACCTCTTTGAAGGGCGTGTCTCCAAATACAGTCACATTCTGAGGTTCTGGAACTATATATTTTGGGGAGAACAGTTCATCTATATATTTATTTTTAAAAAAGATTTTTTTAATTTATTGGACAGAGAGTGGCATGGCCAGAAAGGGAGCACAAGAAGGGGGGAGTGGGAGAGAGAGAAACAGGCTTCCTGCTGATCAGGGAGCCCCATGCAAGGCGTGATCCCAGGATCCTGGGATCATGGCCTGAGCTGGCCTGAGCTGAAGGCAGACGTTTAACAACTGAGCCACCCGGGTGCCCTGAATATTTATTTATCTTTTCATGTGCCCATTGGCCATTTATTTATCTTCTCCTGAGAAATCTCTCCTCACTTCCTTTGCCTATTTTTAAATTGGGTTATTTGTCTTTTTATTATTTTATTTTTTAAAAAAGATTTTATTTATCCATTTGAGAGAGAGAGAGTGAGAGAGAGCATGAGAGGGGAGAAGGTCAGAGGGAGAAGCAACTTCCCGTGGAGCTGGGAGCCGGATGTGGAACTCTATCCTGGGATTCCGGGATCATGACCTGAGCCAAAGGCAGTCACTCAACCAACCGAGCCACCCAGGCGCCCTGTCTTTTTATTATTGAGTTGTAACTTTGTATATTATACATACAAGCTTCTAAATATCTGACTTGCCAGTATTTTCTCTCATTTCTGTGGGCTTTCTCCTCACTTTCTTGGTAGTATCTTTGAGTCATTAAAGTTTTTAATTTTCTTTCTTTCTTTCTTTCTTCCTTTTTTTTTTTTAAAGATTTTTATTTATTCATTTGACAGAGAGAGACACAGTGAGAGAGGGGGAGTGGAAGAGGGAGAAGCAGGCTTCCCGTCCAGCAGGGAGCCCAATGTGGGGCTCAATCCCAGGACCCTGGGATCATGACCTGAGCCGAAGGCAGACTCTTAATGACTGAGCCACTCAGGCGCCCCTTAATTTTCTTTTTAAAAGATTTTATTTATTTATTTGACAGGGAGCACTAGCAGTGGGGAGAGGCAGAGGGAGAGGGAGAAATAGACTTCCCAATGAGCAGGGATGTCGATGTGGGCTTCTAAACCAGGACCCTGAGATCATGACCTGAACGAAAAGGAAGACATTTAATTGACTGAGCCACCTAATCTCCTCTGAAAGTTTTTAATTTTAATAATGCTTAGTTTATCTACATTTTTTTTTTGTTGTTTACACTTTTGGTGTCGTATCTAAGAAACAGTGGCTTAAAACAAGCTCCCAAAGATTTATACTTGTATTTTCTTCTTAAAAGTTTTATGGGATTAGATTTTATGTTTAGGTCTTTGATCTGTTTTGAATTAATTTTTTATAAATTATGTGAGGTAAGGGTGGGTCCAACTTCATTCTTTGGCACGTGGATATCCAGTTTTTCCTAGCAATGTTTGTTGAAAGGTTTGTTCTTTCCCCCATTGAATTGTTGTGTCACCTTTTTGAAAATCAGTTGACTGTAATTGTGAGGGTTCATTTTTAGATTCTCAACTTAGCTGTTACGTTTGTCTTTATGCCAGTTCCAAACTGTCTTGATCAGTGTTAGCTTTGTGATGGGAAATGTAAGTCCTTTAACTTTGTTCCTTTATTTCAAGATCATTTTGATTATTCTGGGTCCTTTGTATTTTCTGTGAATTTTGGGATCAGCTTGCAATTTCTGCAAACAGATTAACTGGAATTCTTTTTTTTTTTTTTTTTTTAAGATTTTATTTTTGGGATGCCTAGGTGATACAGTTGGTTGAGTGTCTGACTCTTGCTTTCAGCTTAGGTCGTGATCTGAGGTTTGTAGGATCGAGCCCTGCATCGGGCTCCACACTGAGCTCAGAGTTGGCTTGGGACTCTTTCTCCCTCTGCTCTCCCTCCCCCACCAAAATAAATAAATCTTAATTTTTAAAAATGTTTACTTTTAAGTAATCTCTGTATCCAACATGGGGCTTGAACCCACGACCCTGAGATCAAGGGTCACATGCTTCACTGACTAAGCCAGGCAGGCACCCCAGATTAGCTGCAGTTTTGCTAGGGCTTATGTTGAATCTGTAGATCATTTCGGGGTGCATTGCTGTCTGAACAATATTAAGTCTCTGATCTATGAATAGGAGATGTCTTTCCATTTAATTGGGTCTTCTCTATTTCAGTAATGTTTTGTAGTTTTTAGAGTATAAGATTTGGGGCATTTGGCTTGGTCAGTTGGTAGAACATGCTACTCGTGATGTCAGTGTTGTAAGTTCGAACCCCACATTCAGTGTGGAGATTACTTAAAAATAAAATCTTAAAAAAGAGTACAAGGCCTACCATTTTTTTTTGGTTAAATTTATTCCTACATATTTTACTCTTTTTGATGCTATTACAAATGAATTTTTAAAATTTTATCTTTTATTTGATCATTGTTGGAGTAGTGTTTATTCTCCTATTATTTTCTAAACATTTATGGGACCTTTAGTGAGGTATCTACCTTTTTATTCCTGATAATTGGTTGGTTGTACTTCTCTTTTTTATCCTTTATCAGCCTTGGCAGTGTTTTATCGCCTTTATTTATTTATTTAAATGTTTTATTTATTTATTTATTTAAATATTTTATTTATTTATTTGAGAGAGAGGGAAAGAATGAGCAAGAAAGAGAGAAAGCACCAGTCAGGGGAGGGGCAGAGAAGCAGACTCACCGCTGAGCAGGGATCCTGATGTGGGACTCTATCCCAGGATTCTGGGATTATGACCTGAGCCCAAGGCAGAGGCTTAACTGTCTGAGCCACACAGGTGCCCTAGAGATTTTATTTATTTATTTGAGAGAGAGAAAGAGAGTGTGCACGTGTGCACAAGCCGGGGAGGGACAGAGAGAGGGGAGAAGCAGATTCCCTGCTGAGCAGGGAAACCTACATGAGGCTCTATCCCAGGACCCAGGAATCATGACCTGAGCTGAAGGCGGATGCTTAACTGAATGAGCCACGCAGTTGCCCCTTTTTAATGCCTTTCAAGAACAATCTTTTGGTTTTGTTGATTCTTTTTACTTTGTTTTATATTTCATTTCTTTATTACTTCTTTTTTTCCACTTTGCTTTATTTTACTCTTCTTTTTTGTTCACTTTTTGGCATGTGTACTTAAATCATTGAGTTTTACTTTATACTTCCTTTACATTTTCTGCATTAAAGCTATAATTTACTTTGGCTTTCATTAAAGCATCTCATCAGTTTGGGTATGTCATGCTTTCTTGATCATTCAGTATTAAATATTTTAAAATTTTTGTTGTGCTGTCTTCTTGGAAACACTAGTTATTTGGTAGGGTACTTATTAATTTCCTAATAGAGATTTCTTAAAATTTCTTGTTAATTAATTTTTAGCTTAATTTTACCTAATTCTATTTAATTCAGAGTATATGGTCTATGATTTCAGTCATTTGTTCTTTGTTGAGACCTAATTTATGACTTGGTATAAGATTGATTTTGGTAAGTGTTTCATGTATGACAGAAATACATACATTCATTACCCTTGTGATGTAATACCACTTTTATTTACCCTAGTTATTGGTATATAAATATAAAAATTAAGTTTTTGTTACTTTTTAAATTCATATTATCTATTGGTTGATGAGCAAAGTATGTTTCCCATTATGATTATGCATTTGTTTTTCTCTTAATTTTGTCAATTTTGTGTATATTGAGGGTATGTTAGGTGGATACAGATTTGGAATTGTTTTATCTTCCTGGTTAGATTGACCCTTTTATCATTATGAAATACCCCTGTTTTATCTTTAGGAATTTTTGATTTTGTCTGATATTAGTGTAGCTATTTGGTAAGTATTTGCATGGTAGATCTTTTCCCATTAGTCTACTTTTAACCTTTTTATGTACTTATTTTTCTGTTGTCTCTTTTAGAAATAGTGTACAGTTGGATTTTGCTTTTTTAAATTAGTCTAAAAAATCTTTGTATTTAATGGACTATTACTTTATTTGTATTCCATGTAACTTCTAATTTATTAGGGCTTAAATCTATCATCTTAACTATTTCTATTTGACACCTATTCCATGTTCTTTTTTCTCTCCTCTCATTTTTTTATTAAAATAGTTTATTTTTTATTACTTCAATATTTTCTATATCAGTGGGTTTGTTACTTATGGATTATCTTATATTCTTTTAATGATTATCTTAGAAATTACAACATCTACTCTTAACTTACTAAAATCTAATATAAGTGAATGCTGTTACTACTTACTGGATGATGTAAAGATCTTAGACTACTGTAATTCCACTGTCCCTTTTTGTGCAAGTGCTATTGCACTATATTTTAATTTTATATTTGTTTAAACCTCCAAGTCATTTTATTACTATTTGAAATCATGACCATTTGTTTGGATTTACCCATATGTTGATTATTTTTATTGCTATTTATTCTTTCCTTCATTTTCAGCTTCCTTCTGGGATGATTTTCCTTACTTCTGAAGAATACACTAGTGTTTCCTTTTATAAAAAGGAGAGAGAGAGAGTGAGTGAGAATAAGAGAGAGAACAGGGGCAGAGAGAGAGAAAGTGGGAGAAGCAGATTGCCCTGCTGAGCAGGGAGCCCTACGTGGGGCTGGATCCCAGTCATGGCTTGAGCTAAGGCAGAGGCTTAACCAACTGAGCCACCCAGGTGCCCCATCCTAATCTTTCCTTTTGTGGAGTATACTATTGATAAATTCTCTCAGTTTTTGTTTGTCTGATAATATATAATGTACATTTTGTGTAATGCTGTTTTTTGAATGCTAAGTTGGCAATTTTTTTTTCCTTTTTTAAGATTTTATTTATTTGTCAGAGAGTGAGAGAGAGCACAAGCAGGGTGAGCAGCAGCAGGGGGAGAGAGAGAAGCAGGTTCCATGTTGAGCAAGGACCCTGAGCTGAAGGCAGCCACATAACTGACTGAATCACCCAGGCGTCCCATATTAACCCTTATTTTAATGTCTTATTGAAAATTCTTTTTTTTTTTTTTTAATTTATTTATTTGAGAGGGAGAGAGAGTGAGAATAGTGGGGAGGGGTAGAGGGAGAGGAAGAGAGAATCTTTTTTTTTTTTTTTTAAGATTTTATTTATTTATTTGAGAGAGAGACAGTGAGAGAGAGCATGAGCGAGGAGAAGGTCAGAGGGAGAAGCAAACTCCCCATGGAGCCGGGAGCCCGATGTGGGACTCGATCCCGGGACCCCGGGATCATGACCCGAGCCGAAGGCAGTCGTCCAACCAACTGAGTCACCCAGGCGTCCCAGGAAGAGAGAATCTTAAGCAGACTTTGTGCTAAATGTAGAACCCAAGGCAGAGCTCGATCTTAAAACACTGAGATCATGACCTGAGCCGTATTTAAGAGCTGGGGAGCTTAACCAACTGTGCCACCCAGGTGCCCCTGACTGAAAATTCCTGTATTTGTATTCTTCAAGAATCTGTTTCTCCTGCTCATTTTTTTCTTGGTTCTTAGTCAGATCTTGTGTTCATCAGTGCCAGGTTATATAAGAGAAAAATTTGAAGCTGTGAGTGATGTTATCTTTCTCCTTGAGGGTTTACTGTTGCTTCTCATAGGCAGCTAGGTTGAGACATCAGAAATCATAGATTACTTTGAGTACAGATTGAAATGTTTGGAACTTTGGCCTTACTTCAAGGGATCGATCTGTTTCTGGTTTAGACTTTCTTATAACGTAGGCTGTGTGGGTTGGTATTAGTTTCTGCTCAGTTTCTTGGCCTATCATCCTCTGCTTTTGGGCAGGGAGAAGGAAATGTCAAATGCTAGGCTTGCTTCTCTAAGAATTTCCTCTTCTGTCTCATTCTGTGGATAGCTGTCTGAAGTCTTCTGACATATCCTATTTTTCTGTGTGTTTTTGTCCATCTCTTCTTCTTCTTTTTTTTTTAGATTTTATTTATTTATTTGACCCAGAGAGACAGCAAGAGAGGGAACACAAGCAAGGGGAGTCTGAGAGGCGGGAGAAGCAGGCCTCCCACTGAGCTGGGAGCCTGATGTGGGGTTCAAACCTAGGACCCTGGGATTGTGTCCTAAGTTGAAGGCAGACACCTAACCAGCTGAGCCACCCAGTCACCCCGTTCATCTCTTCTTGATCTGGCGAGAAGCTTTTTCCAAATAGCCTAGTTTTCCATTTGATCACTTTTTTAAAAAAAAAAAAGCATTGAAATAAGTGTATTTTGCCAAATCTTATAGCATTGTATGTTTCATTTTCTTTGTTTTGCATGTTTAAAGATTTTATATTGCCTGCTTGCTGTATTTGTTCTATGATTTGAATTACAAGTGAAAAGTTCTGGTGACCAGTTTGTATTAATTTCTCTTTAATTAATAGGTGGACTTGGGACAGTTCTCTTAGTCTTAAAGGTGAAGTTCTGTCATTTGTTAACTCAGGTTAGGGTATTGTGGTATGTTAGCTGCCCTGGCTCTATTATAGTGTTCATATCTGAAGAACTTAAAGCTAAGTAAATCAAAGTAAATTAAGCATACATGTGGAAGTGGATTTTGTCTGCATATTAGACACCTCTCCAGATAAATTTAGAATAAAATTTGTAGAGTTTTTCCTTACAGTGTTGCTTTCTTTCAGTGTGAAGGCTTAGAATCGTCTTTAAAAGATGCCAGTTTTGAGAAGGAGTCAACAGAAGCACAAAGTTTGGAGGTAAAAACAGTACCTATAATTATAAAAGCTGGGGTTAAGATTTTTACTAGATATCATAAACTTTAAGGAAAATGTATCTCCTCAAAATTATTTTTAAAGAAATGTGAAAGAGCATTTCTAGATGTTAAAACTTAAAGAAAAAGTTAATTATAGGAAATGGAACATTAGGTAACATAAAATATTTTTAAAAATTTGAACTTTGCTTGCTAACTTGTTTTGAGCAAGGCATATTTAGTTTGCTGGAACCTAGGGCCTTATAGAAGCTCTTTATTTTTCATTCTTGGGAATGAAATGTATTAAGTAACCATTCCTTTTTTTGATTCTTTTTGCTCTAGAAAGGAAAAAATAGAAAGATTCATTTTCATAAATTTAGGAATAGTTGGCAGGAATAAATTATGTAAATTGTGGCAGTACGTGCCTTTACTTCATCCCCATTGTATTAGGAGCTGACTAGAAGTAGACCAAAGATTTATGTTGTAAGCAGTGATGTGCTGGTAAAGGTTTAATAGCTGGCTCTCTGAAAAGCAGGAGTCCTTGTTTGTAGCATTTGCTTGGTTCTGTTTTGTAAATACTTCCAATTTCAAGGTACCAACATGATGTCACTGAATGTAGGGTTTGGAAGAGATAACTTATAGTCAGCTCTCTTGAGCCAGGTATGATTTGGCTAGTAATAAGAAGGGAAATAATAAAAATTTGTCATTTAGCTAAGCTACAATAGATTAGAGTAAATGCTATTTGTTATTATTTAGAGATGGAAGTATTGTCAGAAGCATACTAATACTAAAGTAGAAAACAATGGATTTGTACTTTTGGTATATAAGTGTTCAGACAGTCCAGCTCGGCTGTTATCAATCACTGATGTCTGTAACCATCAGAAAGTCTATTATTATAACACTGGATATTAACTAACTGGAATTAAAATAGAAATTTAAAAAAAAGCTATAGATTATGTCTCAAAATTTCCTCGTAGAGCCCAAAGGAAGTTATAAATTGAATTCCAAATGGAGTAAATTTCTTAATCTTTTCTTTCTTCATTTGTTACCTATAATATCCTCAAGAACTTGTTAAAATTGTTTTATTTACTGATCTTCTGTTTTATCTCCTCTTCCAGCAGTAACTTCTTAGTTTGATCAAAAAAAAAAAAAAAAAAAAAAAGAATCACAGAAGGCATTTAGCTTAGTAATAGAAAAGCAAAAACTGGACAGAAAAGGCATTTATTCAAGTTTGGTAGTATTGTGGATAAAATAAAGCACACCAATTTATTCTTAAGGCTTTGAATTTACATTATCTAGCAGGAAAATTTAAATGAACATTTTAGAACTTTTTCTCCTATTTTTATAATTTTAAAAAACTTGTGATTTTTATTTTTAAGCTTGATAGATATAATATAAACTATATATGATATAATTTAAAAATTTGATGGTTGAATCAGTAGATAAAATCTAAACAGTACTGTAATTTTGATTCAAGTCAGGGAATTCAAATAATCAAATAACCAAAGTTGGAAAATACATATAAACAAGTTTTTTAACCACTGTAATATAATATGTACTTGTTCTTTTTTATTTTGGTCTCTGTTAAATTCTTTGAATCTTTTGGTTTTTTTTTTTAACAAGTTTGTTGAAGGATCACAAATATCAGAGGTATGTTTATTACAGTATTTAAAATCCAATTGGGATGATTCAGTAACTAATCATTTAAAATGAAAAAGGTCCAGGGACACCTGGGTGGCTCAGTTGTTAAGCAGCTGCCTTTGGGTCAGGTCATGATCCCAGGTTCCTCGGATCAAGCCCTGTGTTGGACTCCCTGCTCAGCAGGAAGCCTGCTTCTCCCTTTCCCACTCCCTCTGCTTGTGTTCCTGCTCTCACTGTTCTCTCTGTCCAATGAATGAATAAAATCTTTAAAATTAAAAAGGTCCCAGAAAATAATTCAATGCAGAACATTATTATGAAGCAGTCTTGATTATTTTTTGAGTTTATTTTTTATTATGTCTTTAATCTTACTGAATCAGACTTATTTCTCATTTTTTTCCTTTATAATGCTCTAGAGTAGAGGTTGGCAAACTATATTCTTTTTTTTTTTTTTTTAAAGACTTTGTATTTATTTGACAGAGATCACAAGTAGGCAGAGAGACAGAGAGAGAGAGGGGGAAGCAGGCTCCCCACTGAGCAGAGAGCCCGATGAAGGGCTCTATCCCAAGACCTTGAGATCATGACCTGAGCCGAAGGCAGAGGCTTAACACACAGAGCCACCCAGGTGCCCCGGCAAACTATATTCTGGACTCTCCGCCTGTTTTTTTGTTTTGTTTTTTACTATAGTTGATACAAACGTTAGATTAGTTTCATGTATACAGCATAGTGATTGAACATCTCTATGCTATGCTCACCACAAGTATAGCTACCATCTGTCAACATACAATGCTATTACAGTCTCATTGACTGTATTTTCTATGCTGTACCTCTTATTCCCATGACTTAATTCATTCCATTAATTGGAAGCCTGATCTCCCACTCACCCCTCATTTTACCCATGCCCCTCACCATCTTTCCTGCGGCAACCATCAGTTTATTCTCTAAATTTATAGGTCTGATTCGCTTTTTGTTTATTTGTTGTTGTTTTTTTTTTTTTTTTAGTTTACACATATGAGTGCAATCATTTGACATTTATCTTTCTCATTCTGACTTATTTCACTTAGCAAATACCATCTAGGTCCATCCACACTGTCACAAGTGGCAAAAAAAAAACCTCATCATTTTTTATGGCTATGTAATATTCCATTGTGTATATATACCACCTCTTCTTTATCCATTCATCCATTGTTGAACAGTTATGTTTCTTCCCCATTTTTGCTATTGTAAATAATGCTTCAATAAACATATATATATATATGTATATATATATATATATATCTTTTTGGATTAATGTTTGTTTGTTTTTTTTTGAATAAAAAGTAGTGGAATGATTGAATCATATATTATTTCTACTGCTTTCCACAGTGGCTGTACCAGTTTATATTCCCAGCAACAATGAACAACAGTTCCTTTTTCTCCACATCCTTGCCAAAACTTGTTATCTCTTGTTTTTTTGATTTTAGCTATTTTGACAGGTGTGAGATGACACCTTATTGTGGTTTTGAATTGCATTTCCTTGATGAATGATGTTGAGGATTTTTTCATGTGTCTCTTGGCCATCTGTATGTCTTCTTTGGAGAAATGTCTGTTCAGGTCTTCTGCCCATTTTTAACCAAATTGTTTGGTTTGTCCACCTGTTTTTGTAAATAAAATTTTATTGGAACACAGCCAAACTCGTTCATTTACATGTCATTGCATTCTTACTACATAGGCATATTGGGACAGAGACTACATGGCCTAAAAGCCTAAAATATTACTCTCTGGCTCTTTGTAGAAAAAAGTTTGCTGACCCCTGCTAGCATTGCTGTTATTTAAATGGTATAAAAATGTACAAATATGTAAATTTATTTGATTTATAATACATGTGTTTGATTATACTTGTCTGATTTATCATAACCCAGAAGTCCTATTCTTGTCTTATAAAGTTGGCTTCCTTTTTTAGACGGTCTATGAAACTCTGAACAAGACTAAATCTGAACTTGAGGATGAAATACTTTTTCTGGAAAACCAGTTAGAAAAAGAGAAAACTAAACATTCTGAACAAGATGAATTGGTAAGGTTTTTGTTAAATGAGACTGCAGGAAAAGGAAGGTTACTGAATTTTAAGAAATTAATACGTATTGGGGTGCCTGGTGTCTGACTCTCGATCTCAGATCTCAGCTCTGGTAGAGATCTCAGAGTCATGTGTTCAAGCCTTGTGTTGGGCTCTGTGCTAGGCATGGAGCCTACTTAAAAAAAAAAAATGGTATCAGTTAAGGTATTGTATGCATTCTAAAAAAATCCAAAAAATACAGAAGGCTGTTAAGTAAAAAGTAAAATTTTCAAGAGCTACTAGCTTTTTTTTTTTTTTTTTAATATGTTAGGGGTTACCATTACCATGTTAAGTATCTTGCACATTTTTAGAGAGATTTTCTATATGCACTATGAAGTAGCTCACATAAATAAAGTTGAATAATCACATACATGGTAGATTTTTTTTATTATACTCAAAAGGTATTTTGAGAACATTTTAACTTTGCTTTGTCATTTATTTTAAAATCTGTTATAAGGAAAATCTAGATGTGTGTGATTATTTAGTAAGATATGTCAGTGAACTTAATCTTGAGCTTATATAGCTTAAACATCATGAAATATTAAAGATGAGATGAAATACTATTGTTGTCTAACTTTCATATAAAATCTCTAAGCATATGGCGGACAAGTTTTCTTAGAGTCCTCATTTTTTTTTTTTGAGTAGATATATTTAGGTTAACAATGTAGCTAAGGTATGTGGTGTCTTAGAAGCTGGAGAGATTTTAGTGAATAAATAGTCATTTATTCATCGATGTTGTCTTTCCAGATGGTGGATATTTCAAAAAGGATACAGTCCCTAGAAGATGAATCAAATTCTCTTAAATCACAAGTGGCTGAAGTAAGTTGAATTAGCGTAGAAGGTCTATTGCTTTTGAAAATCATTTTAATTTTATTGTTTTATGTTTAAAGAAGAAGATATAATACTAGAATTTGAGATATTGGGGTCTTAGATATAGTTCCCTTGTAGAAGGTACTTCAGGAAGGTTCATTTTTTTATTGGACAGATACTTATTGAGTTCTTGCTATGTACTGGTCATTGTTGGAAGGTGCTTGGCACTTAATTTTAGTAGACAAAATATACAGGAAATCTCTCATATAGTTTAAATTCTAGAAAGAGAGGCAGATAATAAAAAGTTAACAAAATTTGCTACATAGTACATAAAAGATTATAAGTGGTTAAATCCTTTATCCAAGGCCACATGACAAGTTCATGGCAGAGCCACGTCTGGACCCTGATTCTAGACTGGACTTTTTTTTGCTACCCCACACTTCTTTTCCTATTAATATTGGTGTGTTTTTTACTTTAATTCCATGTTTTAGGGAGTATGTGTAAAAAAGAACTATTGTATTAAATAAGTTAATAAATTAATTTTAAATTTAAATAAATTTAAATTTAAATAAATTTACAATTTAATTAATAAATTAAAATAAATAAAAAATAAATACGTAAATTCTTATAAGCTTAATGTATTGTGTTTTACTTAGGCCAAAACAACCTTCAGAGTGTTTCAAATGAATGAAGAACGACTTAAGATAGCTCTAAAAGATGCTTTGAGTGAAAATTCCCAACTTCAGGAAAGCCAGAAACAGGTTTGTACTCTATAGGGACTTTTAAACGGTGAATATATAATTATAAATGTTCTGGGCATACTCATGACTGACCCATGCTAGGGGCAAGATTAGCCTTTTCCTGGGAAGCAGGAGAGCAGGACTATCTCCCGTATATCCTTTGGTGTCTCTTTATATAGGGTGCAAATTATATACTCCTGGCACCTTGTTCCTCCAGTAGTTAAAGTAATCCAGGGCAAATTTCAATAATCACAGCAAATAGCATTTAGTACCAACTCCTTAAAGCCAGACTGAAGGAAGGAAGAGAATTATCGAAGCTATGGGTCTGGGGCCTAAAGATAGAAGCAGTTCTGGTGGTAGATCAAATGAGGATTTAGCTTTAACCTTTTCCTTCTTTATATATATATAGATAGATAGATAGATACTCTCACATACCCAAATATATTTCCTGTCTCACTATTCTTCCAATACAGGAGAATTTTTCCATGAGAAAATTTTTCATTGATTACATTATTTGCAGTTTTTTAAAAAAATGTTACAACTGAGCCACATAATGTGCTCTAAATGTTCTGTTTTACCCAACATTTTCTTTGCTCTAGGGTAACTGTTTTGTTTCCTATATACTTGTCTGTATATCTGTCTTCTGGAGATGCTGAATATCTTATTTATGCATTCAAATGCTTTGTTAATATACTGATTTTATATTTTTTTCTTGAAGCAATCCTTCCTGGGGTCTTCCATCCTCCTGGTTTGATAGGAACTTGTTCTCTAGGTCTGTTAATGCTTCTGCTGTCCCGAGATTTCACTTCTCTCCCATTGTCTTTCTTCTGTGTTGTATCTTTTATTTTCTCTTTCTAAGATGTGCTCTTTTGTGGTTAATTCTCTCGATAAGCTTCTTGAGAAAAAGATGTAGATGCTAACTTTTTAAAAATTTACATCTTTTTTTTAAAGATTTTATTTATTTATTTGACAGACACAGATCACAAATAGGCAGAGAGACAGGAAGAGAGAGAGGGAGAAGCAGGCTCCCTGCTGAGCAGAGACCACCCCCCCCCCCCCCCGCCATGCAGGGCTCGATCCCAGGACCCTGGGATCATGACGTGAGCCGAAGACAGAGGCTTTAACCCACTGAGCCACCTGTGAACCCCCAAAATTTACATCTTTTTGAGAACATCTTCATTTTGGTTGGATATCTTCTGAGTTGAAATATTTTTTTTTCTTGAAATTTTGACATTATTGATCTATTGTGTTCATTTTCCAGTACTGCTTTTGAGAAGTCACATACTATTTGGATTACTGGATCTTTCTTTGTGATCTGCTCTTTTCCTCCCTGGAAGCTTTTAATATATTTCATTGTTTCTGTTTCTCCAAAATGTCATTATGATGTGTGGTGTTTTTTCATACATTTGTTGGATACTCTTAGTTTAGAAACTCTTGCTCTTGATTGAGTTCTGGGAAATTACTTCTTGCTTTTTTGGGGATTTTTATATGATTATACAATAATTATTTGAAGATGTCCTCTTTGATTTCTTTGTTTATATGGAAGTTTTATTGACTTATTCTTGTATATTTTTCAATTTTAAGTGTTCTTTTTGTTTTGCTTATGCCTCTTCTTAATTTATGCAAGCCATGTTCTTATCTTGCTGATATTTTATTTTATTTTTTCTTTTTGAAGTGTTTTCCAGTTCCCTGAGTTGTCTTGTTTTCTTTAGTTTCTGTTTCAGTTGTATCTTTTATCTAAGAGTTTCTTTTTAAAGTCAAGTATTAGGTGATTCATGGCAGTCTGCTCATTTGATAGTGAAACTCTCCATGTCTAATTGGAAGCTCTGTGTGTGTTATTGGGAGTCTCTTCTGTAGGGTAATGTGCCTAGGATGTTTCTTGGAAGATCCCCAATTGTTAGCATTTGAAGACCATTTTCCATAGGGATGATACCTCCTCATTCCTGTTTGAGAGGTAGAAGCCCATTTGCCAACAGTGAGATGAGCAGCTTAGAGAGGTAAGGGTTGTTGGTTTGTCATTATTTAGTAAGTCATCTTTCACTTAATACTTGTATGTTTTCAATATTTTACTCACACTTTCACCTGGGGCATGTGTCGGAGTTTCATATTCTGCCTCTCTAGAGAATAACTTTCTAAGCTTTTGCCAGATGTGTATATATGTGTAAGTATGTGAGTAGGGATGTGTGCATGCCTGTGAAAGATGAGAGTGGGAGGGAGGGATGAATGGAGAATAAGAATGTGTGTGTATGTGTGTATATTTATATATGTGTAGGGAGAACACGAGGGACTTTCTGACTCTTTTTGTACATACTTTCAGGCAGTTCTTCTCTTTTTAGTCCCACTTATTTATACCTCTAGTATTAGTGCCCCCAAATTAAGAGCATTTTGTGTTGTATTAAATCAACCTGCATTTGGACTTTCCCATCTTCTGAGTAAATTTCAGCTTTGCTGGTCTGCTAAATCTTTTTTTTTTTTTTTTTTAGTATTTATTTATTTGACAGAGAGATCACAAGTAGGCAGAGTGAGAGGGGGAAGCAGGCTCCCTGCTGAGCAGAGAGCCCGATGTGGGCTTGATCCCAGGACCCTGAGATCATGACCTGAGCCAAAGGGAGAGGCTTAACCCACTGAGCCACCCAGGCACCCCTGGTCTGCTTAATCTTTTACTATATTTCATTCTCTTTCTACATTTTTTTTTTTTTTTTTCCAGAAAGAGTGAGTTGGAGGGACGGGTAGAGGGAAGAGGGAGAAATCTTAAGCAGGCTCCATGCTCAGTGGGAGCGTGATGTAGGACTCAGTCCCAAGACCCTAAGATCAGGACTGGAGCCGAAATCAAGAGTCACTCAACCAGCCGGGCCACCCAGATGCCCCTCTACTTTCCACTTCTAGAATTACTTTTTTCTCATTGCCTATTTTCTTTTTCCTTGTGGGTTTATGCTGCTGCTTTTTTTCCTTTTCCTAAGTCTTTTAGTAGGTTTACTTTCAATTTAGTAGATTACAGGAGAAGGTGGTGGTAAACCTTGTATAAAATTGTTGTAATAAAAACTGGCCTTTTCTAGCTTGAAAAAACTTCATCTAGGTTGTCTTCTTTTTTTATTTTTTGTTGAAAGATTTATTTATCTATTAGAGAGAGAGGGGTTGGGAGGGGCAGAGGGAGAGGAAGAGAGAAACTTAAGCAGACTTCATGTTGAGTGTGGAGCCTGACACGAGGTTTGGTCCAGAACACAGAGTTCATGACCTAAGCAGAAATCAATAGTCAGATGCTCAATCAACTGTGCCACCCAGGCAACCCTAGATTGTCTTACTCTTTCCACTTGCTTTCATGTAATTCCTTTTTAATCACAAACGTTTTGAAATAAACTGTTCTATATTCACTGATGTCCTGTTCTAATAACACTCCTTCTCTAACTTCTTAAGATTGCATGCTGGGTATGGAGTTTCTTTCTTTTTTCTTATATTTTTTTAAAGATTTATTTATTTATTTGAGAGAGGGAGTTAGCTAGAGAGAGTGAGCATGAGCAGGGGGAGCATTAGATGGCGAGGGAGAAGTAGACTCCCTGTTGAGCAGGGAGACCTACGTGGGGCTCCATCTCAGGACTCTGGGATCATGACCTGAGCTGAAGGCAGGTACCTAATGAACTGAGCCATCCAGGCGCCCCTGGGTATGCAGTTTCTTTAGTAACTCACTGGAGTCCACCTAATCAAAAATTCAAAATTTTGTCTTCAATCCTCCTTTGTTTTTAGTCTGTTGGTGTCCTCTTAATTCTGTTATACATGTGTAGAAAAAGTTGTTTTCTTGTGCTAAGAAATATGCTAATGAAGCCTTGGTTTTACAGAGAAATCCAATAATTACTGTTTGATAGAATTAAGTTTTAAAGATTTAATAAATTTGGACTTTCATATTTATATGGGCCATTTCTTTTGTGAATTGCTTGCTCATTCATTTTTTTCCTATTTTATTGACTTCTAAGATCTTTTTGCATGTTAAGGTTATTAATCATTGTTGCATATGTTATAAAAATTCCTTTCTAGTTACTTGTTTGTTTTTAGATTTTGTGCTACTTTTTGATTTGTGAAGCTTCTAAGTGTTATATAGTCAAATCTGTGTTTTATAACTATACTTACCTTTTGTGTCATGTTCAAAAAGTATTTCCTGTAAAAGTATATACGTAAAAAAGATTGATTTTGCAGAATTTAATCTCTTCCACATTAATGGTATCTCTGGAAGTTTAGTTATCTTAACTATAAAACAGCACATGATTTTTAAAAAAAATAAAGGACTTAAGGGATGGTAAGAAATGACCAAATCTAACATATATGTATGTTCCAAAAAGCCTTTGATTTGCTATAATTTATAATGTAAATCAGTTGAACAGTGTTTAAGTTTAAATGTTTCTTATTTTACATTGTCTTTCTTGAAAATTCTTTAAAATCAGGAGCCTGCCCTTTATTCCCTTCTTTCCTCCTTTCATTCTTCCCCACTTCCCTTCTCAGCAACACATTGTGTTGTATAATACCTATTAATGATATATCTAAATATATAAAGAAATTCCTCTACACATAAGTATGAAAAATAATGAGCAGTCTTTTGGGGGGGTTTGAACTTTAGCTTTTACAAGAAGCTGAAGAATTGAAAGAACAAGTGAATGAACTTAATAAACAGAAAATAGCATTTGAAGACTTCAATGTAGATGCAGAACAAGTTCTGTGTGATAAAGAAAATCAGATTAAGGTAAGTGGCCCTGCTGGTTTTAGTGACTGTGAGTCAGCTGGAATTTTGTACTAATTTTGGAATTTGAAAATTTTGTCTTAGCAGCTTTCACTTTTATAATTATTTGGTCAAATTTGAGTACATGTACTTCTTTGGCATTCATTTTAATTTGTACCAGTATTGTCATTCTTGCTCACAAATCCTCCTTGAAGACTTACAGATTTGTAACATATATTATATATTATGTAATAATATGTATTATATCTTTTATGATATATATCATATATTAGATATTAAAATATCTAATTCTATTAAGAAGAAGTTGGAAAGAATTTTAGAAATTAGATGAAATTATATGTACTGGCTGGATATCTGTAATACCTAGATTAGCTGGTATATATACTTTTACGGAGAATGAATAGTTTTCAAAAAATAAGTCTAATTGAAACTTGACTCTGGTAGGAATATAATAATTGATATTATGTAGTATTTGTTCACTTTTTCCTACTCCTTGTTTGCCTCATTGTAGCTCTTTTTCTTGCCTGCTCTTTTAAATCTTGTGCTTTCAAGCTGCAAATAGATACTCAGGTGTGAGTATTCAGTAATAAAATGTAAAGCTAACATTCTGTAATCTATGCATTAAAGTGGAGGTTACCATCTTGAAACCTATATATTTATGCTCTTTATGTTGTTACTAAGAATGTTTTGAAGATTCTAGCTTTAGGAGTTGTATGCATAATTTGGTATATTGTTTTATTTTTTTCCCTAAACTTACCCTACTGAAGAACTTGGATTCTTCCTAAACAAAACAAGAATGAGATGCTAATCTCAAATTCAGTCAAAGCTGTAAGCCATGTTATTTGTGCCTGGAACACTCAAGGGGGAAGAGATTGGAGGGTGGAAATTATAAACCAGAATGGGTTTTTAGGTGGGTCCTTCCACAGAAATACATGGTCATTTTATTATGTATGATGCTAGAAAATCTTTATTTGAGAAAATTCAAAAAGGACTGTTGGAAAGCCTGTAATGTAGCAATTCAGATTCTGTTATATATATATTTTTCTTTATTTCAGTTGAACTCTTTAGGTAGTCATTAACTTGAAAAAATCAGATCTGTAAAATCTGTGATCTTTTTATATATCATGTGTCTCACTTGCAGATTTGGTTGACCTCACACAAAATTTATTCATTTAATGGCCATTCTAATTTGTGGCATGTGAAGAATGTCCTATAAGAAAATGTTTTGTTACTTTATAGTCATGTGATGTATTTAGCAAAAATAGACCATTAAAAAGTAGGAATAAACAGCTTTGGTTTTTAACTTGTAAGTTTTTTTTTTTTTTTAATTAACATATAATGTATTATTTGTTTCAGGGGTACAGGTCTGTGATTCATCAGTCTTACACAATTTACAGCACTCACCATAGCACATACCCTCCCTAGTGTCCATCACCCAGCCACCCTATCCCTCCCAGCCCCTTCTCCACTCCAGCAACCCTTAGTTTGTTTCCTGAGATTGAGTTTTTTATGGTTTGTGTCCCTCTCTGGTTTGGTCTTATTTTATTTTTCCTTCCCTTCCCATATAATCCTCTGTCTTGTTTCTCAAATTCCTCGTATTAGTGAGATCATATGATAACTTGTAGAGTTTAATAGTCAATAAATGTTAAAGTTTTTGAGGGTATTTACATATCTTAATATCAGCTGGTGAATAACGGCTCATGTACTGTTATTTATATAGATTGATTTTTAAACTGTGACTGCATATTCAGAAGTTATAAATCAGTTAGCAAAAGACATTACCCTCTTTCTCTTTTCTCCCTTTTTTACTAAATGTCAAGTCGCTGACTGAGCGCCTGATAAAGATGAAAGATTGGACTGCTGTGCTGGGAGAAGACATAGCAAATGATGATAACTTGGACTTGGAAATGAATGAATCAGAAAATGGTATGCGATTGTCAAGTTGTGATTCATCCTCTTTTGCTAAAAATCATGAGTCTCTTGTATTTTCTTTTAGTTCCCTGTGTGCACCATGGTCTTTGTTTTGTTTTGTTTTTGGCTTTCAAGGATTTTTTTTTTACTTTAAATTCAATTAATTAACATAAAATATATTATTGGTTTCAGAGGTAGAGTTCAGTGATTTATAAGATTTATATAACACGCAGTGCTTGTTACAACACATGCCCTCCTAATGTCCATCCCTACCTAGATACCCCATTCCTCCACTCTTCTCCTTTCTAGCAACCCTCAGTTTGTTTCCTATGATTAAGAGTCTCTTATGGTTTGTTTTCCTCTGATTTCATCTTGTTATATTTTTCCTTCCCTTCCCCATGATCCTCTGTTTTGTTTCTTAAATTCCACACATGAGTGAGGTCATACGATAATTGTCATTCTCTGATTGACTTATTTTGCTTAGTGTATTATATACCCTCTAGTTCCATCCATGTTGTTGCAAATGGCAAGATTTCATTTTTTTGATGGCTGTGTAATATTCATACATATATACACACACACCCCACATCTTCTTTATCCACTCATCTGTCAGTGGACATCTGGGCTCTTTCCATAGTTTGGTTATTGTGGACATTGCTGCTATAAACTTTGGGGTGCAGGTGTCCCTTTGGATCACTACATTTGTATCTTTGGGGTAAATACCCAGTAGTGCAGTTGCTGGGCTATAGGGTAGCTCTATTTTCAACTTTTTGAGGAGTCTTCATACTGTTTTCCAGAGTGGCTATACCAGTTTGCATTCCTAAGAACAGTGTAAGATGGTTCCCCTTTCTCCGCATTCTTGCCAACATCTGTCATTTCCTGACTTGTTAATTTTAACTCTCTGACCAGTATGAGGTGGTATATCTCATTGTGGTTTTGATTTGTATTTCCCTGATGCTGAGTGATTTTTGGGCATTTTTTCATGTGTCTGTTGGCCATTTGGATGTCTTCTTGGATAAGTGTCTGTTCATGTCTTCTGCCCATTTCTTAACTGAACTATTTGTTCTTTGTGTGTACGATGTTCTTCATACAATTCTGCTTTGGCACATCATCTTCATCTATCTCTAATACTCTGTCCCTCTCTTGCCATCCCTTATTATTAAGCTTCGGTTAGAATACTGCCTTTTTAGTAAATATTTCTCCAAACTCCTCGGACAGACTTACAGCTTCTTTCCTCCATGTTCTTTTTATATATTGTATATTTTCACATTGCATCATAATAATTTCAGTGCCTGTTTTTCCCTGTCATGTCAGGTAATCAGATGAATGGGTGGGTAGTTTAAAAAATGAGTGTTATGTAGACGAATACCTTCGGATATTGGTTTTTGTTTGTATGTTTTAATTAGATGGCTCAGTACTTTAATCCTGTCCATCCCAAATTGTTATCACCACTGCTGGTTATGGTCTGGAAACTCAAGCAGGAGTTAGGTTCACTATAGATGCTCATTGTATTTTCAAACCAGTTCTTTGACTTGAAAAAAGAATTTTTTGTTGACATAACTATAGATTCTTTGGAAATTGCAAAAAGAGTACAGAAGTGTTTTGTTTCTCTTTTACTAGCTTCTCCCAGTGGTAACTCTTCTGACCTTTGTGTCCTGTCTCTTTTTTCTCCCTCTACCCTCTGCATAATTAATACATATTAAGGAGCAGAAGGTATGATTTTTTTTTTTTTTAGAAATTTCTTTGGTGATACCATTAATGCACTGAAAGAAAACTATGTTCCAAAAGTGAATACATGTGCTTTGTTTTATTCTGCTTTATCTTATAAGAAGCAATTCCTTTTGTAATGAGAAAATGTAAATTTGTTTAATGTCCTTTTAATTTGGAGTATAATTTCACTTATATTTTGTATGCTGAAAGATTTCAAGAATAGTTGAGAACTTCTTATTATAAATTTGTTCTTGGAGTGAGTAGTGAAGAACCTCGTTAAATGAAATTGTGGTACTTTCAGTGCCTTATTATTTAGCTTCTTGGGAGCATGTCCAAGACTATCCTGCCTTATATCAAATTCTTTATTGTAGCAAGAAGGGTGATTATAAGGCTCTAGTTGCATGAACTAATAAAATCACTTGGATGTCTGTTTTGGAGTGGCACTGTTTCCCTAATTTATTGTTTTTATTTTGTTTTGTTTTTTACTATAGATAATCAACCAAAAGGAGCTTTGAAGACGTTGGTTCATGCTGCTAAGGTTTGCATTACTGCATAAATATAAAGAATATAGAGAAGGAAATAGAACTTGGGTTAAATCTGTATGTCCTTAGTAATTATTTTAAAAGCCTATTTTATAGTTACCACCATAGAAGCAATCTAAATTTTCAGAGGTGATCAGTATTTCTTTATCAATTGCTTCTTTCTTTTCTATAATAAGTTTGGAAATTCATATTGTTAATTTTTAGAATGTATCATAATATAGATTTTTAAAGTCTACACTGATGTTTTTGGATAAGGAATATATTAAAAATATTTAGTGTATTTTCTCTCATGTTTCTATCTTTGAGCATTCTTCTTCTTCTGATAGCAGTATTTTTGTATATTCCTGTTGCCCCATATCCTAATTTGAGAAGTAAATGCTAGGTTCACTTTCTTCTGGTTTATCCCTTCTCTTTTCCATTGTACTAGTGGTATCTTGATCTTTACTGAACTTTGTGAAGGCTTGGTAATGTAATTTGAAGGTTGCTTTAATTAAAACTTCTGTGTTGAAAGTAAATATAATGAAAATAGCTTTTTTAATAGAATCACTTTTAATAATAATATAATAAAAATTAATAATATTAATTATTATATAAATAATATTATTTAATAAATAATAAATATAATATCTTTTTAATTTTAATAAAATACCTTTTTAAGGATGAGTTATTGATCTTCTCTGTCTCTGTTCTGACATTTACAACTACTAATGACTGTTAACTTTTCAAGATGGAAGCTGCATTGTTGGTTAATGCTTTCTAGGTGACAATTTCATCAGAATGATAAAAGAACTTCAAAAGGTTGGGATGGTATATTGAGATTTTTTGTTTTTCCTTTTTTGGTGTAACTGATTAATGTTTTGTTTTTTTCTTTCTTCCATTCTCTGAAGTTAAAGACATCTTTAAAAACCCTAGAAGGAGAAAGAAACCAAATTTACATTCAATTATCTGAAGTAGATAAGACAAAAGAAGAGCTTACAGGTAGGTTATCTATATCTTTTTATACAGAATGGTACTGTTAATTGAATCAATTACAGAAAGGCCCAATTTGATTGTTTTTTTAACTTTTACTTTTGTTTCTGACTTGTGGAAAATTAGTACTGAGTTTTTTGCTTGTGGTGGTAAAGCCTGATTACCAGTTTCCTCCATATTCATATGAAATAAAAATAATGATATTATTTAAAAAAAATGTAAAACCACACTTATCTTGAATTTCTGTGTTATATGTGTGGTATGGTTTTAGATGTTAAAAAGTAGCAAATTAAAACTGTTAACTTTTAAAAGATCATCCCTGTGATCAAGTTTTACCAGAGATGATTTCCAAGATTAGTATCTGTTAAATAAATGTTCTTGGCATTGGCTTAAAGCCTAGGTCAACAGTTTTCTTGTGATATAGATTTAAAAATTTCTGTGGAAAGGCATATGCACATTACGATCATTTAATGTTAGCATATTTACTTTAAACTTTCCTTTTGATATATATGATTAATAGATGAATAATTATATGCCTTTAATTAGAATGCTATTACATATGATTGCTAAAATTTTAATGCTTGTTAGTATGATTTGGTGACTTTTGAATCTGCCCTCTTTACATGCAGTAAGTTTTGCATTAAGATTTGTGGTGGGGGCGCCTGCCTGGCTTAGTCTGTAGACCATGTGACTCTTAATCAAAGAGTCATGAGTGCAAGCCCCACACTGGGTGTTGAACCTACTTAAAAAGATTTGTGGTGATGATTTATATACATGTTTGGGAGATGGCATCTCAATCTTAGAGTAGGTCAGAGGTGAAGTTATGAAGTTGAAAGATAAATGAGGTTTTTAATAACAATGTGCTAATTATCTAGCATTCATAATTACTTAAAATTGTTAATTTTGTTTTATAGATAATTCTTTTATAGATAATTCTTTGGGTTAGCATTTGAAACAAGCTAAAACTGGTATTTTTCTTTCCAGTCTTGATCTGGATTAAGCTAGGGTGGTTTTGTACCATTTCTTATCAGAAGATGAAATTTTTGATCTGACTTATAACATATATCTAAATTTTGCTTAAAAGGAGGGCTGGCCAGAAGTTAAGTATTAACCTGTAAACTTTTTCCTAGATAAAAATAGGCATTGTTCATCATGTAGAAGTAGTTTCACAAGAAATGTTTTTTTTTTAAAGATTTTATTTATTTTTGTAAGAGAGAGCATGCACACACACACCAAGTGTGAGCAGGGGAAAACAAGCAGAGGAAGAAACAGGCTCCCAGCTGAGCAGGGAGTCCAACAGGGGACTCAATCCCAGGATCCTGGGATCATGACCTGAGCCAAGGCATCCACTTAACCAACTGAAAGGTGCCCAGAGGAAGTATTGAACTAAAATATTTCTCTTTAGAATTCTCATCTCCATAACCTTCTTGAGAATTTTATTGTTTTTTGGCACTCTAACTGAAAATTAGATGCTGGAATTAGAATATTGAAGATATTGGGAAATCTTGGAGTAATAAAAAAAATTATAACAGTTTTTCTAGTTCTTTAATTAAAATACTAAAAAGCATTTAGGTGAACAAAATATACATTTTCTGTGGAAAGAATTGCATTTATTAATAATTATTATTTTTTGTAATTTTAATTTTTATGAAGTGTTAATGTGCATCTCAAATATTTACTCCTTTAATCGTGATTTTTAAAAATTTTCTATAGAATATCTTGAAAATCTCCAGACTGAGCAAGCATCTTTACAGTCTGAAAATACACAATTTGAAAGTGAGAATCAAAAGCTTCAGCAGAAACTTAAAGTGATGACCGAATTATATCAAGAAAATGAAATGACTCTTCACAGGTAATAAAAATTATATTGATAAGTTTGCTGTTTGGCAAGTAAAATAGCTTAAAAATAGTGCATATTCACCTTATGTAATACTCAAAGTGCTCAATTTATGATTGGGTAATATCTCATCAGTTCATTTTTAAGGACGTTATTTGATCTTGAAACACTTTTTCTTCTGAATCTGACCATTTTTCATACCTTTCCTAATATGAGTCTCATCTAAACCATCATTTTAGTGCCTGGTTTATTGCAGTAGCCTTATGAGTAGTCTCTTTCCACATAACTTCCTACACATTTGTTTGCAGTGGCATGCCCCTTCTAAAATATAAATTATGGGTATTGTCTCTGTCTTGTTTGCAAACTCCCAAGTGCCTTCATGTGACACTTAGAATTTAATCCAAAGCCTGTGGCCTACAAGACTGTAAGATCTGAACTTTGGCTACGTTTTATTTTTTTCCTGGTTATGCCTTTAATTTTAGCTTATTCATTTTCTTTTTCCTTCATTATCTTCCAGCCGCACTGGCCTTCTCAATAATCTTTAGTATGCCAAGCACATCTGTACCTCAGGGCCTTTTCTACTAGCTCTTTCTGCCTTGAACTGGTATTACCCTGTATACGGTTAAATCCTTCATTTCATCTGGGTTTAGGTTCAAATGTTGCTTCAAAGAATCTTTCCCTGATTACCCTAAGATTATAACTACAATCCCTATCCTCTTGTCTTGCTTTATTTTTCTTTATAGATTTTATAGTCCTCTGATGAAGATTTTCTTTTTTTTTTTTTTAATCTTCCCAACATTAAATGTAAACTCCATGAAAGAATTGCTTTATTCTCTTTTCTTCTGTATTTTTGGTGCCTAATACTCTGTCTGGCACATGGTAGTTATTCAATAAACATTTGTTGAATATATGAATAAATATGTTTAGTACCTTTATATATTAGAGTGAAAGATTCTATGTATGTGGCAACTGATGCCTAAATGCATAGATACACAGAAGACTGTTAAGACACTGATCTGGAGAGCCCAGATTTTCAAATACCACCATAAGACATATTTTTCATCATAAAAGTAAATAAAACATTACTTGATTTAATTAATTTAATTTCAAGCCCCTTTAATGAAAGTTATTACAGTTGATCTCATCATTCTTAGTGTCTGTATTTGCAAATTTACCTACTTGTGAAAACTTACTTTAACCCCAGACCAGTACTCATGGAGCTGTAGTGGTCATTCTTAGACATGCACAGAATGGCAAACAATTTGAATTGTCTAATGTGCACGTTCCCAGTCTGCTTTTGTATTTCAGCTCTAATTTTGTCAATGGTTGTCCTTTTTGCATTATATATAGTGCCACATTATTGTGCTTTTTGTTGGTGATTTAGTGGTTTAAAATGGCCCCCCGCTATTTTGCTGAAGTGCAGTTTAGTGTTCCTAAGTGCAAAATGGCTGTGGTATATCTTACAGAGAAAGTATAAGTGTCAGATTTAACAACAGATGTTAAATAAGGTGTCTTTAAACCAACACACATAAAACAGGGTTATGTATTGACTGGTAAATGAAAATGCTATCACTAGAGCATATAGAAAAGTAATTCTGATTCCCTTAAGAGCACTGGTTCATTATTTGCTAATTTAGGATTTGTGGTGACTTTATAGAATGTAACTAATAGGAATGAGATTCTTCTTTATGTATTTGGAAATGTTAGTAGAAAGTACCAACATTACATTGCCATCAGGATGCTGGGGGATTTGTTAAGCTCTGTTATTGCCAAGCTGTGTACTTCAGTCATTCTTTGGAGTCTATTCAAAAATTAAAAATTTGCTGTTTATCATGTACCTTTGGGCCACTCGGGACTGCTCAGGATATGTAAGAGAAATAAACTTGACTAAATGGAAGATCCACAGAGTGGATACCTCATGGTTTCCATCAGTGATTTAGGAATGGATGACCCTTCATTTTAGGTTAGGATGAAAGATACTGTGAATAAAATTTGGACATAAACGAGATTATCTGAGGTTAAAGGAATACTTTTGAGTGTATTTTTAAAATTTGATTGATTGGTTGATTATAGAATTTCAATGAGTAATGTTTAAAATTTCAAAGAGAAAGGTGTTTAAAACTTTTATATTAGTAGTACTATATTAGACAGGATGGTTTATAATTTCAGTTTATAATATTAAGTTCCACACCCGGAATATTTAACAGGTACTTTTTTTCTTGCATGTGATGTTTTTAGTGGTATTATGCAAATTGCTTTATGGGACGCACCAGTTGCCATATAATTAAAAAGATATATTTGATTATCTTATGACATACTGTAAAAAAATATATTTTTTATTTTAAGGAAATTAACAGTAGAGGAAAATTACAGACTGGAGAAAGAGGGGAAACTTTCCAAAGCAGATGAAAAGATCAGTCATGCATTTGAGGAGCTGGAGACATACAGGTATCAAATATATTTTACTCCTTTCTTTTGGAGGTGGGGAGGGTATCAAAAAGTCCAATATCAGAAAAAGTAACAAGGCAACCAAAAAAAATAAACCCAACATTTTTCTGATGATTTTTCATTTGGATATCTTGCTATTATGCAATTACACAGAAAATATAAGAAGGAAAAAAATGTTTTCCTTTCAGTGTGTATGATTTTAAATCTCTCACATTAGTTGTACTTGAACATGGGAAATCCTATTTTATGTTAATGTGAATAAATTTATGAATAGCCATTAATTTCAGGGTCTTTCCTTTTTGGTTCAAATGGGGAAGAATGTGTACAATATTAAGGAATTAGGGAAGTCTGCCTCAAAAAGAGTGAACCACAACTAAAGGTCTGAAGAAGTGTTTATATGTCTAGTTTTTTCCTTGGTTCACTCATCATTAGTTCCATGGAAATAATAGAAAACCTAGAGAAAATAAGGGGCAAGATTTAGTAGTGTCCCAGATAGTTCTTATATTTCATTTTGTGTTAGAAGAATAAGCTTGGGTTTTATCCAAAAGAAGAAATTATTTTACTAGTTGTGTAAAGGTAGTAAGTAACATTTTACTTCACACAGACAGCTAATTTCTTAGAATTCTGTTAAGATTATAGATATCTGAATAAGTCTTCCAAGGTCATGCTGCATAAAAATAAAAACAAACCAATATACCATATAAATTCTTGCATGACCATTGGTTTAGGCAAACCCAAGTAATAGTACTCTTAAAGCACAATTAATGTTAAAATTATGTCAAGAAAAATATACTGCTTTAGAAGTCTTAAAGGTGATTGATGTGTGGAGTTCTGGAGTTATTTTTTATATTAAACAAAGCACTTTAGGTGTTTTAATTGATATTTTCAGTAGACATAGTGTATTTTCTCATTTCTTAGTATATGTTAATAGTAGAATGATTATCCCTTATAGAAGGCGAGCCAAAGATCTTGAGGAAGAATTGGAGAGAACCGTTCATTCTTATAAAGGGCAGGTATGTGTGTGTGTGTGTGTGTGTGTGTAAATTAAAACAATTAGGATTTGTTTGAGTTGTTTATCTCTATTTTGATACAGGAATATAGTTACTTGATAGTTGTACACCTCTCTTGAGGTTTTGCACCTGTCTGTGGAACATTTATAGGGAGCCAAATTTCTGGAATAAGAGACCTTGTTTAAAATTGCCATGTGTCCTGCTTCTTTGAGAATGTGGATTGAATAAACATATATACCCACATTGGGCTCTCATATTCACTTGGGCTAATTATCTCTTAGTTGGTAAATCATTGTAGTTGATTATTGCATAAAACAAATTTACCAGACAAAAACTCATTCAGTTTTTGTTTTAAGAATGTAATAAATCATGTGTATATTAAAATTGGCTTTAAAAATGTTACTTTTCAGAGATGCTTGAGTTATTTTTGAGTTTATGAGTTGTGTACTAAATCATAGTGGTAGATGCAAAATGTTTTATTTAAGAAAATCAGTAGTATTTTAATGAATTTCTTTTTCAGATTATTTCCTATGAGAAAAAAGCACATGATAATTGGGTAAGTATCAAATTCTCTTTGTCACGTTGTTCTTTTTCCTAATTTAAATGAGCAGTTTAAAAGGTACACTTCTACGCCGCAAATTAAGTTAGTATTAAATAAAATCAGTTTCTTTTAATTTTACTGGTAGCGAAATTATGTTCTTTTTTTTTTTTTTTTTTTTTTAAATTTCTTTATTTGACACAGAGAGAGACAGTGAGAGAGGGAATACAGCAGGGGAAGCGGGAGAGGGAGAAGCAGGTTTCCTGCAGAGCAGGGAGCCCGATATGAGGCTCGATCCCAGGACCCTGGGATCATGACCTGAGCCAAAGGCAGATGCTTAACAACTGAGCCACCCAGGCGCCCCTGAAATTATGTTCTTTATGATCTAAATACTTTGTTATAACACTGTTATTCACAGAAATCTGATTTTTCCCTCTTTGCTTTTACTTTGCAAGGATCTTATTTTCTGTCTGTGGGAGGTGATGTAATGTTCATGGATTAATTGTTTGAGGGCCCTGGATTCTACTAGTACTTGTGGACAAATTACTTAAGATTACTGGGCCTGTTTACTCATCTGTGAAAACAACAGATTGAACTAAGTGATATTAAAAGCCTCTTCTAGTCGTAAAAGTCATACAATTCGGGTATCTGATTCTCAGTGTTGAATTACTTGATACACATCAAGAAAAAGATTATTGTGAGAAATGGCATGTCAGTGCTCCCAGAGGAGCACTGGGTGAGGAAATGATAAGGATGCAGGTTTTACTAACCATAGGAATGATACGTTTAACATGTAGAACTGTTATAATAGCTGGCGTTTGTAGGACTTGTCCCTAGGAGTCCTCAAGGGGAGACAGTTTGCACAGTGGGTGAACACATGGAGTCTGGAGTCAGCCTGTCATGGTTGGTATCCTGGTTCCATCACCTGTAACAACCATTCTTGTTTCCTTACCCGTAAGGAAAGATAAAGCAGTAGTACCTATTTCATAGAGTTATTCTGATGAATAAGTAAGATAACTCACGTAAGGCTGTTAGCCAGGTGCCTGACACATAATAAGCACTCAGTACATGTTAACTGTTACTACACTGTTGCACTGTAACTTGGGAGATATTTCTTAGATGTGGATATTTCTTGGAGTGGAGATTCCAGCATAGATTCTGAATTAGACATGTTGAATATCAGGGCTCTTCCCATTTCTCAGATTTTGTACTGATGGTTCAAGCGAAGTTTGGTTATTGAATTAAGCTGGGCTTGGGAGATGAATTTAGTCTTTTTCACCACTCACTGTTACTTTCTGAATACTAAGAACAGATAATTTTTTAAAGATGAGAAGAACGTTAAAAAAAAAAAGATGAGAAAAACTTTAGTGTCTTGTGTTCTAAGCACTATACTTAAAGGCATTTTGCATATATAACTCATTCAGTCCACATAAGAACTGTAAAATAGGTATTATAATTCAAATTTTACAGATGAGAAAACAGCCCAAGGTCACATGACCAAAGAGTGAAGGGTAGAGATTGAAATTTTGACCTTTTTTATTCCAAATCTGAGCTTTTTCTGTTATTGTACATTGCATTTCTTGTTTAGTAAATAATGACATTGACTTCATGTTAAAACATACAAAAAAGGGGTGCCTGGGTGGCTCAGTTGGTTAGGTGTTAAGCACCTACCTTGGGCTCAGGTCATGATCCCAGGGTCCTGGGATCAAACCCCACGTCAGGCTCTCTGCTCAGCAGGGAGCCTACTTCTCCCTCTTCCTCTGCCTGGCACTCCCCCACTTGTGCTCTTTCTGTCAAATAAATAAAATCTTTAAAAAATGCAGAAAATATCCTTTATGTCTTAAAGTGTTTTTTTTTTTTTGTTTTTTTTAAAAGATTTTATTTGAGAGAGAGAGAAAGAAAAAGGGTGCACATATAAGCAGGGAGAGGGACAGTGGGAGAGGAAGAAGCAGACTCTCCACTGAGTAGGGGGACCGATGTAGGGCTCCTGGGATAATGACCTGAGCCGAAAGGCAGATGCTTAACCAACTGAACCACCCAGACATCCTCATTTTTTTTTTTTAGATTTTATAAAAATAATACATACTTACTGAATAAAAAGTTCAGACTATATAGAAAATATGTACAAAGAAGTAATCAGCAATATTACTTTCATTTATTCTATACCTAAAAAATATATTCAGACATAAATCACAGGTATGTTTTAAAAAATGAAAACATACTATATATTACTGTTTTATATTCTGCTTTATTTAATATATTATAGATATTTTTCTATGAATATTGTATATATAAACCTTTCCCATTTGATAAATGTTTCCTTTGTTTCTACTTTTTTACTATTACAAATAATTTCACAATTTCAGGTGTTACTTTTTCCTTTGAGCACTTCTTTGTTCCATCCCATTAGATTTAATCTTTTCTTCCTCTGAACTCACATAATACTTTGCTTTTATGTGTTCTGTGGCAAGTACTGTGGTCGTTTACAGTTGTCCTTACCACAGATTTAAACTTTTTAAGATAGGGACTGTTTCTTTTCCCTTCATACTTACATGTATAGATTTTTTTTGATGCTTTTTTGCGTATTTTTTAATACACAATTATAGATGCTTTTTTGCGTATTTTAAGTATTTAATATCTGAATACAGTGTGGACATTCAGTGAAATAGTTTTACCTAACCTTTGAAGTGTAAGCTTTTCAAAAGCCTGTAATCATTTAGCCTCAGTGATTTATATTTATATTTTTTGTAGATATGTCTTTCATATTGATAGCATTGTAATCATAGTAAAATTTACTTTTGACTTATTAACTTTTCATTGTCTTATGCCTTAAAATCAAGAGTAAGTATTTATACTCAATGTGTGGAAAACATTTAGAAGTGGCTTTGGTTCTGCATTATTAAATGAATTGGTATTTTATTAACTAAAATTGTTATGATATAATATTCTTTTTATTAGTATAAAGTTGATTATATGCTTATATGTTAGAAAGTGATTTATACATGAAATCTTTTTGATAATAATGCTAAAATATGGTTAAGCTTTATTTTGTGTCTGTGTGTGTGTGTGTGTGTGTGTGTGTGAAGAATATTTAACATACTTTATTCTTTGGCCAGTTAATGTCAGTTTTAATGTGTAGTTCATAATTTTAAGTGAATACATTTGATAGATCTTTTTACTTCAAAAAAGTTATGGTTATAAATTGAGTTAATTTGCCTACCTTTGCATGATAAATACATTTGCCCAAGTGGATTGCATTAGTTTGGCCAGATCTGATATTCCAGACACTGCTGCTTCTTAACTGGAGAGTTCACAGAATGGAAAACATGCAGTATTCCATACACGTTTAACCTTTGCCTACAAACTGTTTAGGAATATTGTATGTTCTTGGTATTTATTATAGTAGTCTAGTTTTTTCTTTTTTTAAAAATGATTTTATTTATTTACTTGGCAGAGAGAGAGGCAGGTGAATGGGTAGAAGAAATGTTTATTTTATGTAACATATGTACTCTGATTTTCTAACCTTTTATTACATAAAAATTTCACTAAACAAATGTAAGACTGTAGGAATTGATTTTTATAGTGCTATGTGCTGAACAGACACGCTGCACACTTTGATTATATTCAGCCATTTAAAAAAATGTCCTATATGGGCATGCTGTGAAACTGTTATAGACCTTTATGGTTTCACTAAATGATAGTGATTCCTCTTCAAAGACAGCTGTCTATGATATTATAGCCAGCGTACATGTGCCTAATGATTCTGAGTCTCCATTCCCATCACCCTAAGCTTGGGTCCTCTTACATTGCTTTTGTCATATTATTTGGATTTTACAGCACCAAATGCTGCTGATCCTTGACTCCACATCTAGATAACAGCATTCATTGGCAAGTACATGATCAAACTCCAGCCTTGAGACTCATGTCTTCTGGTTATAGGAAACTCATTCCCTTTTAAAAAATTCCCTAAATTAAAAATTTTCACATTGACTTTCTGAAATGGATATGTAAGTGATTATGATATTTATGAATACTTATCTTTCATTTTATATTTGTTTGTGTTAGTTTTAAGATGTATTTTCAAAAAAGATAAAAAATGTATTATTTTCTTTAAGTTGGCAGCTCGGAATGCTGAAAGAGCTCTTAATGATTTGAGGAAAGAAAATGCTTACAATAGACAAAAGTAAGTATCTTTGTGGGAACACTTTAAAGCTTTAGTTAGTACTTTATTTTTAATTGTTATGTATTACATAATGCTTTTGTAGGGATAAATATGCATGAATCCAGCATATCTGATGGTGAAATATTTATTAGTTTTACTATGAGTTACTAGATTCTTTTGTTTGAAACACTTGTCTTAGAGAAGTTATTTTAACAGAAGTAAACTGTTCACTTGTTCTTCTGTAAAAAGTATAACTTAAAAAAATTCTTTTTTTAAATCAGAGTAGGAAGAGGCATTTACAGGGGATGGAAAGAGAAAGGACAAATTTCTGATGTAGTAATTTTCAGAGTACTGCCATCTTTTAGTAGGTGAATGGGTAGAATAAATGTTAATTGTTTCATTCTCGATTTTCTTTCATTGGATGACAATGCCTTACAAATAAAATGAAAGGGAGAAAGAAAGTTTACAATGTATAATGGAAGAGAAGAATAAATACTTTTCTAGGAGGATTGTAATAGTCTTCCCAGGTGTTAAAGTTTCTTGCCAGAGTGTACTATTAACATTATCCAGTATTAGCTTAGTCTCTTTGCTTGTATTTTCTACTCTGAAATGAAAACTACATGATTAAATGTTTTATTTCAGATCTGATGATCAAAAACTAGAAATACGATTCTTTTAAGATGTCACATTTTTCAGATAAAAGGCTTAGGAATGAAAGAGTAGGATGAGTTCACTGGATTCCTTTTTTATGTTCTGATTGGAATCAGGGTAACATTACAGTGGAAAGCAGAAGTGACTAAGAGCTAGGAGCCCTGTGTTTTAATCCTTACACTTTCATTTTGAATAAATCATGTGAACTTTTTGCCCAGTTTCCTTGGTTGTAAAATGATAGATTTGAACTGGTTGACCTTGGAAAGCCCTGCTATTTCTAAAATTTGGGTTCTGGGATTATAGTATTCACTGTAGTCTAGTTTTTTCTTTTTTTAAAAATGATTTTATTTATTTACTTGGCAGAGAGAGAGGCAGTGAGAAAGGGAACACAGCAGGAGGAGTGGGAGAGGAGAAGCAGGCCCCCAGCTGAGCAGGGACCCCTCCCCTCCCCCACCCCATGCAATGCAGGGCTTGGTCACAGGACCTGAGCTGAAGGCTCAAGTCTCCAAGGGCAGATGCTTAAGGACTGAGCCACTAAGGTGCCCCCACTGTAGTTCAGTTTTGAAAACAGAACAAAATAAAGTGATTTCAAAACTCAATAAAACATCGCTATCATTAGGCAAAAAGAAGCCTGTTACCCCAGAATAAGTAGTGGGGTTATAGAAAGGTGTTTTGGTCAGAATATTTATTTGTTTCTTTTGGTTTCTTTCTTTCTTTCTTTCTTTTTTTATTAATATTTATTTATTTGACAGACAGAGATCGCAAGTAGGCAGAGAGGCAGGCAGAGAGAGAGAGGAGGGAAGCAAGCTCCCTGCCAAGCAGAGAACCCAATGCGGGGCTCCATCCCAGGACCCTGGGATCATGACCTGAGCTGAAGGCAGAGGCTTTAAACTATTGAGCCACCCAGGCGCCCCTCTTTTGGTTTCTTTTTTAAATTTTAATTCCAGTGTAGTTAACACACAGTGTTCTATTAGTTTCAGGTGTACAATATAGTTATTTGACAATTACATATATTACTCATCAAAATAATTTTAAAGAATGTTTTTTCTATGTAGATATTGAGGTAGTGAAAAGTACCTTGTACTTGGTAGTGGCATTTTTCTTGAAATGTGGGTGCTTTTCTTGGATGAGTAACTTAGAGATGTTTGTTCTTTATTTGCAGATTAACTGAAACAGAGTTTAAATTTGAACTTTTAGAAAAAGATCCTTATGCACTTGATGTTCCAAATACAGCATTTGGCAGAGGTAGTTTTTTTTTTTTTTTTAAACCCTTGTTTAAGATACACATATATATATGTATATATTGCACATTACCTTTTATATTAGTATAAATTAATACTACTATTTATAAATATTTTAGATTTTGGAACCAGGATTCTAATCTGAGTTCTGGCACAATCTCCCAGGTTTCTGAGTTTTTTTTCCCTAGCAAAAATGTAAATAATTGCTGCCTCCATTTCTCAGTGGGCATTTGTAAGATGATGTCTATTTAGTACATTGAGCTCCTTGCAAAGCAAAGTGCTTGGCACATAGTCAGGTAATCATAATTATTTTATAATAATTATATAATTATTTATTATAATAAATAATCATAATTATTTTAGGGGAGAATGAATAAGGAGTGCTTAAATGGAATAATGTTATAACTATTTATATATCCACTATCTTTGGAATTTGCTTGAATTATAAAAATAAGAATTAGAACAGTCATTTTTAATTATTTAAAAGAGTCAGTTAAGGTGGGAAAACAATCTGAGCATTCTTTGCTTTAATTACCTCCAAGTGAGGAAGATGTCCACTCATTAAAGACTTAGCATTTTTAATGATCTCATACTATTCCAAATAGTTTAAATTTTTCAAAATAACTTTTGGTTGAATCGGAATTAAGCATCTAAGGCAATGAAAATAAAGCTATCTTTATATTGGTGGAATTCCATTTTAATAACTGTTTTGAAGGTATAAAAGTCACTTTTGAGAGTCTAATTTCATTAAAATGAAAGTTTATTTTTACATTTAACAAAATAACAGATTATTATTAATTTCAAGTAGTAATAAAGTTTAGAGTGGTGGGAATTATACAGAAGGAATTCTCTTCTGGACCTAATGCAGAAGTTTCAGAAAAATTAAATAAGACTTTGATCTTTTGTTGTAATAATAACATTTACATATTTAAAAAGTATTATTTTGGTGGTATTTAAGCTTGTTTTTTGATGTTCTTGACTTTTGATCTTTGGAAGCATAATCATTACTTGGGAGTGGTGAAGTTTGTAAAATGATAGGGCTCTTGGTTATTTAATTTATAAAGTGATTTATTTGATGAATAAATGTAATCTGAATTTTCAGTGGCAATGAATCAGAAGTAATTTCTGATGCTTCAGAGGATTTTGCATTTCTACTTTTCAAGATCTGAGCTTTACTCAAATAATTCATGGCCCAATATAGCCTATCTGGCTAATTTAAACTGAACCCTTCTATAGTACAACCCTCACCAGCCAAAATATCCAGAAGCATATTGCCATTAAAAGCAAACCAAACAAACTTCATAGCCCCCAAATCCTCTTATACCTCTAAAATATCACTAAATATCACCATTATCCTTTGCTTAGTAGTGTATGGTTATTTAAGTGTATTAGTTACCAAGAGGATAATGTTTTTATTGACTAGTGTATTTATTTGGTACACAGACTTTAAAAACCTAGGGTTCCATATTTAATTCTGTCCCATATCAGCAAAACCCAAGGCATAGTTAGTATTCAAGAAGTGGATTAAACTTAAATTGGCAATAGGGTGACCTGATGGAAATTGTTGAAATGGAATTCTAATCTATAGTGTAGCTAATTGAAACTATGAATTTAAATATGCTGTTTTAATTATTCCAGAGCATTCCCCATATGGTCCCTCACCATTGGGTCGACCTTCATCTGAAACGAGAGCTTTTCTCTCCCCTCCAACTTTGTTGGAGGGTCCACTCAGACTCTCACCTTTGCTTCCAGGGGGAGGAGGAAGAGGTATATTGTTTAAACATCTTTATTACTCTAGATTTCTTCCTTATTTTATATTTTCATCTCAACTTATCTTTAAAATAAACCTTGGGAAAATACAGGCATTCCTTGCACTTATTGTGGGTTACTTTTGTTTGGAAAAGGAGCTCTGTGATATCTAATTTTCATATATTTTTATCTTAGAAACAGGACTATAATAGGTTATATTTTGATCAAGCACTTGATGTGTATCTCTTTAAATCATTCGGCTTCTTAAAAACTGTATTTTATAGCACTTTATAAAGAACACATAAAATATGATAACAATCTAACCTGGCATAAAATTGTATTTTAATGAAACATTATTAAAATATAGAAATTCCAAATTCTTTTTCTACTTTATTATCATGATCTTTTATTGTAGAAAATCAGAAAGTGAAAGAACCTTCTTTTTTAGAGTGGAGGAATTCAGAAATACTATCTTGTAGGCCAGGTTTTGATGAGAGTCTTAAAGGAGACCTAAATGATTTATTAATACTTTGAGAAACTGACCCAAGATTGTCTGCTTTGTTACCTACCTGTATGGGTTTTTGAGATTCTCAGCAGCTATTTCAAACCTATGCATCAGCTCTTGGTCTTTCTGCATTTACTTCAGCACTCACCCTTGTGTTACCTATGTACCTGGAGTTTTCCTCTTTTGATCTTTTACCATACTTTGTTCACTTTGTCAGGTTGCTTTAAAATTTTCCCTTGAATTGTGGCAAAATGCAAAGATTTAGAAAGTACTGTTTATTCCCAAATCAAAAGTCTCAGGTTTTTAGCCTCGTCTGTGTTGTATGAGAGCTGATAACATTCTTCATCAGTGTTGTGACCCCCCATTCTGCTCCTTTTATTAGTGATTTTAGCATATTGAATCTGACTAAATCAAAACACCAAACTAAACCCAACTTACCAAAGCTCATATATTGAAATGGATTCTACTTATCAAAATAGTCTCTCCTGGAGGCTGTAATTCCCAGTTGAACCTACTATTATTTTAAATATTTTTGGAGCTCTTTCTTTGGGATTGTCTTCAAAGAATGAGAAAATGAATTTTCTACTTTATGTTTATGGGATGTTCTCCCTTTGTCCATCTCCTGTTCACATAATCTTTCCTCATCCTTGGTTTGGTACACTTAGCACTGGTCTCTCCTACCTCCCAGTCCTACTACTGATTGGGCTCACAGCCTGGAGACATTTCAGAGAGAAGCTTTTCTTATCTTGGCTTTGAACTGAAAACTCCTAGGGAAAGAGTGAGTTGCAGACTGATACTTGGAGTCCTGGGAGAGCTTTGCCTTAAGCACTTTAGGAAGGAGACTAATTTCAAAATTCACATGTGTGCTATAAATGCCCTAGAATTAATCTTCCCCCTAATTTTTTTTTTACTTTGAACAGTAAGAAATATATTTTAGGTCATGTTCTATTACCCATCAACATAAATGTAATAGAAACCATTTACATGTTTTTTATGCTTTCTGATACTTTCTATTCATTTCTATTTCATTTCATTAAAAAAATTGCTGCTTAGGAGTAAGTTGATTTTATGCACCAGGATGGGTTGCAGCCAGCTGTCTAGTGCCCTAGAAATCAGGGTATAATTGGCTAAACTGCAAATATGAATCACTGGAAGTTGAATAACATAAGTCAAGGATTGCTTGTAGTCAATTGAATATTTGGAGTAAGAGTGAAAATTACCTTTGATTTCTCCTCTCCTATTTAAATTACTTTCCTCTCCTTTTTAATTACTTTCAAGAAATGTGTTTAGATTATTTGCAAGGGTGTTTTGCTATTTTTTAGAAAAGCTACAGAAGTTTTAGGTAAGTTATCAGTAGGTCTTAAAAGAGTTGTTTTGAAGTAAAGTTCCTGTGACCCATCCAAGAAGGATGATGAGTGCCCTTTTCCTTTGTTTTATTATCTTTTTAAAATTGAAAGTTTGGGTGAGATACATGTTCAAATAAAATGGAATATAAGGAAAATAATTTCTTTTTAGAGTAACCTTAATGTAACTTTTGGTCTGAATGCAAATTTTAACATTTAGCATTTTCAAGTTTGTAATTTTTCACCTGGTAGTCATTTGGCCTATGCTTTGGTCCTCTGAAAGGAAGCAATCAAAAGAAGGCCTTCGTCTCCTTTGAAGATCTGTGCTTCACTCTAGATGAACTCAGCCTAATTGACTCTTGCACATTTGTTTTTGTTTTGTTTTTTTTTTATTAAAGATTTTATTTTTATTTATTTGACAGAGATCACAAGTAGGCAGAGAGGCAGGCAGAGAGAGAGAGGAGGAAGCAGGCTCCCTGCTGAGCAGAGAGCACCATGCGGGGCTAGATCCCAGGACCCTGGGATCATGACCTGAGCCGAAGGCAGAGGCTTTAACCCACTGAGCCACCCAGGCGCCCCGACTCTTGCACATTTTTTACCAATTTAATTTTCTGCTTTTCCAGCCTTTTTCTTCTAATGAACTTATTTAGAAGGATGAATAGGCTGGAAGGGAAGATTGAGGGAAATTAATAGAATATACAAGTATAAGGAAAAGAGATAGTTGACCTTCTGAATATAAAAGTTTACCTCTTGACTGTACAAAGGGAGTAGATAAAAAAATTTTAAAAGATTATATTTTTTATATATAAAAGGATTCTTATACTGATTTGAACAAGTTACCAAGAAAACGTCAATTTTGTTTTAGTCTCTTAAAGGTGTACTGAAATGTGGAAAACATTTTAGATTTCTATTAAAAAGTTGTTGTTGTTGTTGTTGTTTAAATAAAAGCTATTCCTTGAAAGGAAAAAGGTTTTGTTTTCTGGGCAGTATAAGTTTGGGAAGATCTTATTCTCCCCTCAGTGATAGATAAGTAAAGTATTAACATATTTTGTTATTTAGTGTTTAAAAAATTGTGTATTTGTTTTTTTCCATTTTAATTGAATATGTTATTAATTGAAGTACTGTCCTTTTTGTGGTCATAAGAAGGGAACTTTATAATGATGATCTTTTATAAATGTAAGCATGCTGATTTCCTTATCCAAATGAGTGTTACTTTGTTCAAAGTGTTTATTCCAACTGTGCTGTTGTTTTTGAAACTCTTGTTTTAGACTTGCCTTCAGAGTTGTGAGCTCTTTTTGAAGGTGAATTTGATATTCAGAAATTGCTAAAAGCCCTTTAAGGCCAAATTTATCTGGTGGGTATAAAGTTTGTAATCAGACTGGTTAAAATCATTTTTGGACAGAAGTAGAGTCCTGTTTCAACATTGAGATGCAGTTTCTTGAGTGGCTTTTAAGTTAATCTGAGTACATTTCTAAAAGAGTTGTTCTAAAAAATACTGTGAGTAGTTGTAGAATTATTGAAATAGGTATATAGAGTCTAGGATGACAGCTTTAAAAGAATCATGCTCTTTTTGACTATTGGTGTATTTGTGTAAGCAACAAAAACCTCATTTTATAATTATTTTATTCCATTTTATTCTATTCTGGTATAGAAATCTCTACTTTGCATTTTACTTTATACTCCTATTTTCCAGGCTTAGTATTTATAATTCACAATTTAGCCATTGATTTTATGTATAAATGATGATGGTGGTAACATTTCCTAAATGACTTTAATAGACAGTTGTTTGTTTATACACATTGCAAAATTATTATTTCCTCATTGTCCTAGACTTTGTCCTAGGCTTTGGTAGGATAGAATTGTAGTCTAATGTGTCTTAGGGAAACTTTGTTGGAATCTGATTGTTCTCACTTTTTACAAGCTGCCTGGGTTTCATTTGATGATATGTCTTATAATACTTTTTTAGGTGAAACAGAATTGTATTTTTTTCTTTAATTAGGCTTAAGAGGCCCAGGGAATCCTCTGGACCATCAGAATACCAATGAAAGAGGAGACTCAAGCTGTGATAGATTAACTGATGGTCGCAGAGCACCTTCAGACACTGGATCCCTTTCACCTCCATGGGAGCAGGATCGTAGGATGATCATTCCACCATCAGGTATGGAAAGAGTATAATTATTTATATTTGAAAGGCAACCAGTCTGTGCAACATAGAGGAATGGAAGAAAAGAGGAGTACATGTATGTCGTGTCTTAAGAAAAACCACGATATATATTAGAAAACAATAGTAACATAAATTTCCAAACATGATAATTAGGGGTAATTGTTCAGGTTACAGAAATCTGCTTTGCTCCCCTCCAGTCCTCCTGTGGAATATCTTTATTGTTTTTATTGCTCATAGAAGGTATATATATTTATTTTAGAAAATCCAAACAATTGTGGGGTGCCTGCGTGGTGCAGTCAGTTAAGCCTCAGACTCTTGGTTTAGGCTCAGGTCATGATCTCAGGGTTGTGGGTTTGAGCCCCTCACTGGGCTCCATGCTAAGCACAAAGTCTGCTTAAGATTCACTCTCCTTTTTGTCTGCTCCTCCTTCCTGCTGTCTCTCAAATAAATAATAAATAAGTCTTAAAATCTAAGTAATGGAGAAATGTGTAATTAGGAAAGTGAAAAAAATCTCAATCATCACCTTAGCATGCCTTTCTAAGAATTTAGTTTTATATCTTTTAGGGATTGTTGTGTTTTGGGGTTTTTGGGTTTTTTTCTTCTTTTTTTTTTTGGCATATATTCATAAACATAAATGTAAAAATTCCTTCACTTCTCTGCAATTATACTGCTTACCTTCGTGAAGTTGTATTTTCTTTTCTTTTCTTTTCTTTTTTTTTTTTGGTGGGCGGTAAAGCAAAGTTTATTGAACTATAGTACAAACCTCCCAAAGAAAGAGGGAACACAAGAGAGATCCCCAAAATTGTATTTTCTCATTGGACAAACTATCTTAGATTTACTGCTAAAATAAATATATTTACCAGAAGAGTCACAGAAGAATATCCCAAAGGAAGGCGAGTAGCTGCTATTTTCTGATAGCTCTTACTTTCCCAAGGAATGTATTTAAGATTACTTGGTTAGCTAAATTTTATTTAGGTATGGTGTTTCAGGGACACTGTTATGTGTAGTGAGCTATGCCTGCTTTGTATACATTAGTTATATTTAAAAAAAATATACTATTTCTGATTCCTTCCTGAGGAGTTGGAGTGAGTAAGAGTATTATAGGAAAAAAACTTCAATTCCAAGAATCAGCCCTTGCTGTAGTAGTATGTGTATGTTCTAAGAAATGGTGGCTGCCTATACTGTGGTTTTGCTTTGTTTGAGATCACTAAATACAGCTTCATTAAGACAGAGATTTGTGTCACTTTGTTCACTGCTATAGCCTCAGCACTGAGCACCATGCTAGGGATATAGTACTTGCTCAGCAAATACTCGTTCAAATACTCGTTGACTGAATGACTACCCAAATAATTCTGACAAAGCTGAGTATTTTTTTTAATATTTGGAAATCTATTTGCTGTGATGTACATACTTAAGAATCTTTTAGGGGAGTGGCATAGAACATCTTTCATGCCTTTAATATTCATTAAAAAGTTTTGCTGTGATAAAAATAAAGATAATAAATCACAGCCCCTTTCTCAGAGGACTTGGTTACAAGATTTCTGTGGATATCATATCTCTACATTTGTATAGAGGACTTTCCTTTGAGACTTAACAAGCTATTAGTACCAAGAGTCCCTGTCAAATGCACTGCATAGCTCTTCATTAAAATCTAGTGTAGTAGCTCAAAGTTGACTTATCTTCAGAAATAACTTAGGAAACTTCAAGGAAGACGCAGATATATCTGGGTCCCACCTCAGATCAGGCCTTCTGAACATGAACTTCAGAGGTAAGGTCTGTATGTCTAAAAAAACTCTCTCAGAGGTTCTAAGGAGCAGCTATATTTAAAAACCACTAATCTGCCTCCCCCCAACCCCACTCATTTATTTATTGCCCTTATTATTTGGAAAGAACACTGAGTTCTTGAAGAGAATAGCTGACAGTCTTAAGTTAAAATAGCTAGGCAAATAGCAGAGACTAGAGTTCAGACAGTAATGACTTTGTTCTTGTTCATTCATAAAATTAATAAATATTTTACAGTTCCTTTAAAAATTGCCTTAAATCTGTAATTTTATACCTTTTGATACTATTTCATAGATCCCTGAGTCTTTTCATTTTGTTTCCAATTTTTCTTTTATTCTTTTGGTTGAATAGTTTCTCTTGATCTGTCTTTAAGTTTACTGACTCTACCCTCTATCATCTCCATTCTGCTATTAATATTAAGCCCATTCAGTAAAAGTTTTATTTTAGAAACTATATTTTTCAGTTCTAGAATTTTCACTTTTTTATACTTTTGATATCTCTCCTGAGATTTCTTCTTTTTTTATTCATTATGAGTATTTTCTAAATCTCATTGAGTATAGTTTTTTTTTTTTTTTAAGATTTTATTTATTTATTTGACAGACAGAGATCACAAGTAGGCAGAGAGACAGGCAGAGAGAGAGGGGGAGGCGGGCTCCCTGCCAAGCAGAGAGCCCAATGTGGGGCTTGATCCCAGGACCCTGGGATCATGACCTGACCCGAAGGCAGAGGCTTTAACCCACTGAGCCACCCAGGCGCCCCGAGTATAGTGTTTTTTAAAAAAAGATTTATGAGCAGAGAGCCTGACTCGGGGCTTGATCTCAGGACCCCAAGATCATGACCTGAGTGGAAACTAAGAGTTGACATTTAACTGAGTGAGCCACCCAGGTGCTCCTGAATATAGTTTTTTAATAGCTGCTTTAAATACCTTGTATAATTATTTTGTTTGTTTGGTTGGTTTTGTTTTTTTAAAGATTTATTTATTATTAGTGAAATGCCCATGGCTTTGGGGTTGGGATGGGAACAGAGGGAGAGTGAGAGAGAGAGAAAATCCCAAGCAGACTTCTGGCTGAGTGCAGGGTCTGACAGGTCTCAGCCTCACAACCTGGAGATCATGGTCTGAGCTGACATCAAGAGTCGGATGCTTAACTGACTGAGCCACCCAGGTGCTCCAAGACGTTGTATGATCATTCTAACATCAGGGTCATCTTGAGGATGGCCTCTGTTGATTGTCTTTTCCCTATAAACTTTGTCACATTTTCGTGTTATATAGAGTAATTTGGTTTGTATCCTAGTAATTATGGGGATTCTGGATTTTGCTGTATTTCTCTGAAGAGCATAGGTTTTGTTTTATAAAACGTTAATTTGATCAAACTCAAACTTAGATTTTTTCTTCTCTAGACAGCAGTTCTCTAGACAGCAGTCCAAATATCAGTTCAGTTTTTTTTTTTAAATTTTTTATAAACATATATTTTTTTTCCCCAGGGGTACAGGTCTGTGAATTGCAAGGTTTACACACTTCATCGCACTCATCATAGCACATACCCTCCCCAATGTCCATAATAACCCCACCCTCCCATCCCCTCTCCCCCAGCAACCCTCAGTTTGTTTTGTGAGATTAAGAGTCACTTATGGTTTATCTCCCTCCCAATCCCATCTTGCTTCATTTATTCTTTCCTACGCCCCAAACCCCCCACGTTTCACTCCACTTCCTCATATCAGGGAGATCATATGATAGTTGTCTTTCTCCGATTGACTTATTTCGCTAAGCATGATACCCTCTAGTTCCATCCACGTCGTTGCAAATGGCAAGATTTCATTTCTTTTGATGACTGCATAGTATTCCATTGTGTATATATACCACATCTTCTTTATCCATTCATCTGTTGATGGACATCTAGGTTCTTTCCATAGTTTGGCTATTGTAGACATTGCTGCTATAAACATTCAGGTGCATGTGCCCCTTCGGATCACTACGTTTGTATCTTTAGGGTAAATACCCAGCAGTGCAATTGCTGGGTCATAGGGTAGTTCTATTTTCAACATTTTGAGGAACCTCCATGCTGTTTTCCAGAGTGGTTGCACCAGCTTGCATTCCCACCAACAGTGTAGGAGGGTTCCCCTTTCTCCGCATCCTCGCCAGCATCTGTCATTTCCTGACTTGTTGATTTTAGCCATTCTGACTGGTGTGAGGTGGTATCTCATTGTGGTTTTGATTTGTATTTCCCTGATGCCGAGTGATATGGAGCACTTTTTCATGTGTCTGTTGGCCATCTGGATGTCTTCTTTGCAGAAATGTCTGTTCATGTCTTCTGCCCATTTCTTGATTGGATTATTTGTTCTTTGGGTGTTGAGTTTGCTAAGTTCTTTATAGATTCTGGACACTAGCCCTTTATCTGATATGTCATTTGCAAATATCTTCTCCCATTCTGTCAGTTGTCTTTTGGTTTTGTTAACTGTTTCCTTTGCTGTGCAAAAGCTTTTGATCTTGATAAAATCCCAATAGTTCATTTTTGCCCTTGCTTCCCTTGCCTTTGGCGATGTTCCTAGGAAGATGTTGCTGCGGCTGAGGTCGAAGAGGTTGCTGCCTGTGTTCTCCTCAAGGATTTTGATGGATTCCTTTCTCACATTGAGGTCCTTCATCCATGTTGAGTCTATTTTCGTGTGTGGTGTAAGGAAATGATCCAATTTCATTTTTCTGCATGTGGCTGTCCAATTTTCCCAACACCATTTATTGAAGAGGCTGTCTTTTTTCCATTGGACATTCTTTCCTGCTTTGTTGAAGATTAGTTGATCATAGAGTTGAGGGTCTATTTCTGGGCTCTCTATTCTGTTCCATTGATCTATGTGTCTGTTTTTGTGCCAGTACCATGCTGTCTTGATGATGACAGCTTTGTAGTAGAGCTTGAAGTCTGGAATTGTGGTGCCACCAACTTTGGCTTTCTTTTTCAATATTACTTTGGCTATTCGAGGTCTTTTCTGGTTCCATATAAATTTTAGGATTATTTGTTCCATTTCTTTGAAAAAAATGGATGGTACTTTGATAGGAATTGCATTAAATGTGTAGATTGCTTTAGGTAGCATAGACATTTTCACAATATTTATTCTTCCAATCCAGGAGCATGGAACATTTTTCCATTTCTTTGTGTCTTCCTCAATTTCTTTCATGAGTACTTTATAGTTTACTGTGTATAGATTCTTAGTCTCTTTGGTTA